AACTCATCAATCTTCCTAGAGATGGAGCCGGTTCAATGGATTCAAATGACACAAAGCGAGGCCAAGGTACTTCTGCTGTTTTTGTAGCACGAAACAGATTCGCCGTTTTTAATGCTACAACTCAACAAATCGATATTAAAGATCTTTCCAACTCCACAACCAAGACCATCAAGCCTCCAAATGGAACTACCGATATTTACTTTGGTGGAACTGGTAATCTTTTGTTGATTACCCCCACTGCTGTTCATTTATATGATATCCAGCAAAAGAAAGCAACTGCTGAACTTGCTGTATCAGGTGTCAAGTATGTTGTCTGGTCTAACGATGGTTTATACGCAGCTCTCTTGAGCAAGCATAATGTCACGATTGTCACAAAATCCTTAGAACAAGTCAGCACCCTTCACGAAACCATCCGCATCAAGAGTGCAACCTGGGATGATGCAGGCGTTCTTCTTTACTCAACTTTGAATCACATTAAATACACTTTATTGAACGGAGACAATGGTATCGTTCGCACCCTCGATCAAACCGTCTATCTTGTCAGGGTTAAAGCACGTACTATGTACTGTTTGGACCGAAGTGCTAAGCCAAAGATTCTGAATATTGATCCTACTGAGTATCGTTTCAAGCTTGCCCTTGTGAAGCGAAACTATGAGGAGATGTTGCAAATCATCAAGAATTCCAGTCTGGTTGGTCAAAGTATCATCTCTTATTTGCAAAAGAAGGGTTACCCAGAGATTGCCTTACAATTCGTACAAGATCCACAAACTCGATTTGAATTGGCAATCGAGTGTGGTAACTTGGAAGTCGCAGTTGAAATGGCCAAGCAATTGGACCGACCAAAGTTGTGGTCCAGATTAACAGCGGAAGCTCTGGCTCACGGTAATCACCAAATTGTTGAGATGACGTATCAGAAGTTGCGACAATTTGACAAATTGTCGTTCCTGTATCTGGCCACTGGAGACGAAGCAAAATTAACGAGAATGGCCAAAATTGCGGAACATCGTGGCGACTTCACTGCCCGTTTCCAGAACGCTTTATACCTCGGAGATGTCCAGGATAGGATACAGATGTTCAAGGAGATTGACCTTTGTAAGTTTCCATTAAATACGTCGCTACTCACATACAAAATACTAATCCAGATCAGATCCACTTGCTTACATGACCGCGAAATCGCACGGCTTTACAGAAGAATGCGAGTCAATTCTCGAGGCCACTGGCCTCACCGAAGATCAAATCACATTGCCTGCCCTCGGATCGCCACTTACCCCTCCCAAACCTGTCATCCCCACCTTCAAGGCAAATTGGCCAACAAAGGCAACTTCGCAATCGTTCTTCGAGAAAGCCCTTCTTGGTCAAGTCGAGGGTCTCTCCCTAGAGGATGAACCTTCCGCTGCTGCAAATGGATTCGGTTTTGACGAAGCTGGAAATGATGAAGCCAAGACTGGTGCTCTCATTGAGGCCGATGATGATGATGAAGATGCTGCAGGATGGGATATGGGCGATGATATCGTCCCCGAGGTTGAGAATGATTTTGTCAATGTTGATAGTGCAGAGGCTGGCGCTGGTAGCAGTGAGGCTGATCTATGGGCTCGCAACTCTCCTATCGCTGCTGATCACGTTGCTGGCGGTTCTTTCGAAACTGCAATGCAATTGCTCAATCGTCAACTTGGCGCCGTCAACTTCGAGCCTTTGAAACCTAGATTCATAGAAATTTACCAAGCATCAAAGACTTACCTCCCGGCGTCCGCAAGTCTTTCGCCTTTGGTCAATTATGTTCGACGAACAGTTGATGAGACAGATCCTCGTAAGGTTCTTCCTATCATTCCACGAGATATCGAATCATTAGCAACCATCGACTTACAGAAAGGATACGATGCCATGCGACAAAACAAACTTGAAGATGGCGCTACTATATTCAAGGGTATCCTTCATGCTCTGCTTGTGAATGCTGTCTCAACCGCTTCCGAGGTATCAGAGGCAAAGAAACTCATCACGACAGCATCAGAATATAGTATAGCAATGGCTATCGAAATCTCGAGGCGGAAGATTGGAACTGCTGATGAAATTTCAAAATCACCAGAGAAACTCAAGCGCAGTTTGGAATTGTCAGCTTATTTCACTATTCCCAAGTTGGAGGTTGTTCATAGACAATTAGCTTTAACGAGTGCGATGAAATTGGCTTTCACCAGCAAGAACTATAACTCCGCGTTGAGCTTCGCCAACAGGATGTTGGCAAACGGTGGAAGTGCCAAAGTTCTTGAGAATGTAAGCAGCCTCCCACCACTATTTAATAATATCAACTGACAAAAGTTTTAGGCTCGTAAGATTAAGGCTAATTGTGAACGCAATCCCAACGATACCCATGAGATTGAGTTTGATCAATTTGCTGAATTCGATGTCTGTGCTGCCTCTCACACACCTATTTACTCTGGCTCTCCATTCGAAGTCTGCGCATTCGATGGTAGCAAATATCAAGCTAAATACAAGGGCACTGTCTGTGCAGTATGTGGTGTCTGTGAGGTTGGTAAGAATGGAAGTGGATTGAAACTTGTTGCATAAGTGCAATGGTGGCATGAATTTAGGGTGGTGTAGGATGATTGAGATATCTTTTGGTTGAGGTGATAAAATTCATATTGGAGTTTGAGGAAAAATTATGCCATTAAATTAGTTGATGAATGTAGAACGTTGTTCTTAACTGCTCATTTATTAAATGAAGATTATGTAGTTGCACTCCAGGTTTAGATGATGATTGCTGACATACAGAATTGTGCTTGTCAAGTGGCATGACTCTGACTGAGTAGTGAACACAACCTCAGAGAAATCTCGCGATCCAATGATTGGTTGGATCATTTGGAATACTTCTTAGAAAATTAGATTAGAGCAAGTCCTGCATAGGAGCAACACTCAAGCTCGCAACAATCGAACCATCGAATCTGAGTTAGAGGTTAACGGATTTAATGGCAGCACTGGCGATATTGAAATGTTATAGCCAACATGGTCCCCTTTTCAAACTTCTAATCTCACTTTGTTGCCTCTCCTTTTCCACATGATGCCGCTGTCACAAACCTTGCAATGCTCTCCATATCACATTTCTTCAGTATTTTGATGCTCATTATCTTCTCCTCCCTCATCTCTCTTCCTTTTCACAATTTCACTTTCTCCAGTCCATCTATACAACCATCCCGCAAACCCAAATTGTCAAACACACTCAACATTCTGTATTAGAGAATTACTCCCTACTCAACAGAGGCGATCTCTCTCCCGCAGCAGCTTCTTCATTTACATTCACTTCTGTCCCTGCTGGCCCTGCATTCACATTCAGTTCGGATTTCCGACTTGTTTTGAGATCGTAAATAGCGAAGGCGAGAGTAGAGTAGAAGAGAAAACTATTTTGGGGGTGAGGGGGGTTAGATTAGTTTTGAATGGGGAGTGTGTTCTGCTATTAGGATTCTATGAGATATTACAGAAGAAACCCCCAAGAAGGGTGATAAGGTAAACGAATGGAACAGAAAGAGGGGGAAACACATACGGCAAACCAAGAAAACTAATAATTGCCTGTGCGATTCGGGGAGTTCGCGATTGCAGTTGATTATAGGAGTTATGGACGGGACCAAAAATGCTATCCTATTATTTTATGAAGTTTGATTAGCTCATGATTCTTACCACCTAGTACGAATTTACACAAAGTCCTTTCCTCTCCTCTCTCTTTCGCTCTTTCTATCCACATACAAACTCTCAAAAACAAAAAAAAAGTAAAACTTACGAAAAGTAACCAAAGCCAAACGGCACTCGCAAAACCGCTCTTTGCCACTTCTAACCAGACCATAAATTCTTTACTGATATCTCCACTATTCCCCCCTCGTTGAGTGATGATAATGAACAATATCGAAGCGGAGAAGAAGGCATTTGAAAGGGAGTTTCTGGGGTGTTTTATGAGTTATCACGAGTGAGGGAGAAACGCAGGGGCGAGGGGAGGGATCAAAAGATGTGAAACGAGATTTTCATAGAGAAGGAGTACAAGTAGACATACACAAATTCATAGATTGTAAAATTGGCATCCAGCGTTAAACACCAAAATGTAAATACGCCCGCGTGTATCATCACGGGGAACGCAATGAGTGCTTGGAAGACTCCGATTGTGTGAGCCATGTTTTGGCCGAGGGAGCGGGGTGCGGGACGGGGGGGAGGAGGGCGGGGAGGAAGATGGATGGTGGGTACTGCGTCCATGGTGGGAGAGGGCTTTGTATAGGGGACGTGTAGGGTGTATTGATAATTTGTATCAAACGAGAGACGGTACAAATCTAGATGACAGAAACACACAAAATGGTATCTCAAAACCGCACGAAAAGAAATTGATAATTTTCGTCTACCCGAGTATAATATACATATTCCCCAACCCCTCATTTATAATCTCACGCCTTGCCAAGTAAGGAAGCATGGTGTACATGAAGAAGAACAGGGGGAAACGGCGTAGCCGATAATATGGTAAAACGTGGTGGCCTGGTGCTCGGTTAATACGATTGGTGCTTATGAAGGAGCCTGATGTCGAGAGTGTGTGATTGGTTTATATGGTGAAGCCTAGAATATACGTACGAGATGGATAGATTGGTGAAACGGATTGTATGTATTATTTTTGGTGGTATTGTAATTATTGTATCGAGGAGATTTTGGGTTCAGAAGGAATTGTGTGCTAAGTGAGTAGGATTCATTTGACATGAAACTTTCTCGTCAAGCACATTGCATTGCTATACATAATATAATTCGAGTATTTTTCGGGTCAGAATATTTAGCTAAATACAGATGTTCCTTTTTTAAGGTCGATTCCCAAAGATTTTATGCCTGTCGGCATGCGATGTACCCATTTTGATGCTGGTGATATTATCGGCAATATCCACCAACGAGCTTTCATCCGATGGCTCATTAACCGCAGAGTTTGGACAATGTGAGTACTAAGAATATCATGTTCCAATTTTTCCATCATTCAAAGATTGTCATGCTCAAAGAGCCTCAACTCCAGCTGCAATCTCGTCAATCTCATCATTACCCCCCTCCACAAATTTATAAACACCCAACTGTCGCTTGTTAAAACACGTGCTAACAAAAATCATATCTTCATTCGTGATAGTAGGTCGTACTTTTTTCGGGGTGCCACTCAGTCGTCTCTTATTGAAATAGGAGCTTAGGAATACCAGACCTCCATCTCTTCTACCAGGCTGAACTGCGCTGGCATAACATAATTGAGATTTGTTGGTTGGGTTTGGCCATTTGGGAATTTCAATGTTAATGGATGCGAGGACTCTAACGCTCCAGATGCTATCCTTTCGTTCTACTTTTAGGATCTTTGCGCCAACTTCCATGCATGACGCTAGTACTTGGAAGGAAATGTCATCGCCGGACTCAGTTCTGGATTCGTCTTCGGTTGGTCTGGGATATTCGTGGAGGAATTCAAGTCGGTATGCTCCACCTCCAACATCCAAATCTGCTGCAACATCGATTGGTGTTTCTTCTGCAAGCTGATCATACGTTACTGGGCCGTGGGACCATTCCATGACAATGACTCTGACTTTATTGTCATAACTACCAGTTAAGAGAATCCATCTTTTACCCCCACATGGTAATGGTAAAATAGAGATAACCGCAGCATCATGCCCCGAGTATGACGTTTGCAAATTCAAATCAACATGGTTGTCCCTATTACGGGGATTTCCTAGAATGCAAGTTCGGAGTTTCGAATCATCGCCTCCTGAAAAGATCCCGTGGAAGTTTTCTGAAGATGTGTAAGGATGACAAGTCCAATAGCAACAATATGCATATTGAGGCTCCTCGCCAGAATATGGGATTTTCAAGGAATGCAATGATACTGGCGGTTCTTCCTTCCTCATGTGTAAGTCCGAACCGTGTATCTTGCCATATATAGCGCCAGTAATGTTAAGTATCTGAACGACTCCGGTTGAAGCCGTTACAGCTAAAGATAGGTAGCCATCTGTGGACGTTGAAGGACACCATGCAAAATAGGTGATCAGAACGGAATCATCAAATACTTTCCATGTATTGACGTGTTCGATATTGGGAGAAGTATCCTCATTAGTCGTTATTTTGAAGAGGGATATTCTGCCCGTGCTGGAGGAAACTGCAAAATAATCTTGGTCTGTGGGACAGAAGTGAAGATCATAAATCGCGCCATATGGATATGGACGTGATTGGCAAAGGGTTCTAATCATATCAGAGGTGACAAGAAGGACATACGCTCGTGAATGATGCTTACAAGGAACCATCCTCAAGATGATATAGCATTACACTTCCATTTCTTTTTTGGAGAGTCGATGGAGGTTCTGACTGGTCTTTCGATTCTTCCGAAACAACATCGCTATCTTCGACAAAAACAAGTGGTTCGTGAGAATAATCGACTAAACTCAAAGGAGCTGAAGAGATTATTCCTTCTTTATTGGGAAAAGGGTCTGTATTCACAACGACTTCACTCGAAGCCTTCTCAACATTTACCCATGAGTCTTCATCTTCCTTATCTAACTCATAGGTACCAATGACGAACCATGAAGGGTTATTTGGCCAGAACTCTATGCAACTTGGAGGGAGGTCCAAGAGATCAGAATCAAGAACTTCGATCTTTGAGGCCATCTTTGATTGATTGATGGGGTTTTGGCATGGAGAACTTGTTTCTCATAAAGATTTCCCTAGCAATATAGTAAATGCAATGAGAGAAAGAGAGAGAAGTCTGTTCTAGACGTTTCGTTTTTTTTTATGTTGATCTTGTCTTGAGGTTTAAACGGTTCCAAGGAAAAGGATTGTGAATTCAAGCCACATTGCACCGCCACCACATGCGATGAAGTCACCAGAACTGGAAGGGCTCAATGGTTAATTGCGAGATCTAGAACAAGAAGTTACAAAGTCACCAAGGCTTATTACTAGGAAGGTACACCAGGCAGTACCCAATGGATTCTCTCTTGTGCATCAATCTTCATCATCAATCTTCATCCTTCCTATATATCCCGCTCGCCGCCTCCAATATATCGAGGGGCAGCGGCGGATCGAGGTAAAATAAGTACCACACAATGTCCGCTTCGTTTCCACTTCTTTCATAACCATATCTCCATATATACTCCGTACTGCTTCTTCACCAAACATCTGCAAACATCTACGATCCCCTGTGGTTTGCTATGCATTCGGGTGTTTGCTTCCTCCATCCCCGGAGGAAAACGTATGCAGGTCATGTTTGCTGTTGAAAGGTCAAGGGGAAGGGGATGATTACTTCCAGGTGGAAATATCATTCCAATATGGAATTCAACAATATCATTGACTATCCTCAAACTCCAAAGCATCAGAATCAAACACTCATCAGCAAACATCCGAACGTTCTACAAGCTCAATATCTTGATTGACTCAAAACATCTCTGCTTCTCGTCATAGAAAGCAAGATTTGGATGCCCATCAAAAGACAACATTCTATGGTCCGTGCATACCCTTCCTTGAAGTGAATTCCCCTCAACACTTCCAAAGTTGAAATCTTCCGTCCAATTTGTTAATTGATACATCTCTTTCCATACATATCTTGATACTATTACTTTTATCTATTCAATATTCATTGATCCAGTGGTCATATAATATCCTTTTTACGTGTACATATCAATAATTCATCTACGTGTTTCTCCAATTTCCAACTTCGACTTCACTCACTTGTCACCCGAAAGTTCGTGTGAGAAAGTCTCTTCCAAAAACATCATGGCGAATGGAAAAGAAACCAAAGCATCAGACAACGAGGGTTATCTATCAGATGAATCGGACTTCTATGGTAATTCAACCATGACGCCACATTCATCTCACTACTAACCCTCACATTAGGTGATTCCCAGACCAAAGCTTCCTTCGAAGGTCGCGCTGCCGACTTCGACGCTACAGCATATTGGAAAAGTCATCGACCAACTTTGACCGAAAAGGCAGATGCCAATGTTGCCCAAGCCCTTGCAAATCCAGAGTCCAAAGCGACTCTGTATAATCCGTATGCAGGTCAGGCATGTGCATGGCAACTTGATGAGAGTATTGACGATTTCTTGCGACGAATGCCACCAAGAACTACTGAAGTTACTCCATCAACTCCGTGGATATTTGTCACCAATCCTTTTCGAAAGGCTCCAAAAGGCATTGCGGTAAACGATGAGGCCCCTCCTGGTGAACATTCCAAGTGAGTGATACTGGATAGCAAGACCAAGAGAATTTGGAGAAGCATATTTCACATACTAATCTTGTAAATAGCTGGGCGAGATGTGTAACCGAGGGGAATCGTTTACTTGATGAGCTGATCACTATTCGGAATACTATCGAGAAAGAAAACTCAAAGAAGTCCACAGTTGCAATCGATCGGATGATAAATAAAGAGAAAGAGATCATTGTCCAGAAAATTCTAGATACAGCTATTGATTGTGGATGTACTAGTGGGAAGGCATGTATTGTATCTCGCTTATGTTGTTGCACCGGGTATCTTAGCTTCTTGCCCCTCTGTTAGTGTCCAAGTAGTTCTCGGATAGCCCTCAATACATATCGGATATATACATCCGAATCGCCAGATATTCCCGATCTTCCCTCCCTACCATATCCATGTTTTAACTCTAATACTAACTCTTCCTCAGTGGATGATATTTTCTCCTCCCTCCGAAGTAGACGAAATCTGGGCCGCAATTGCCAAGGCCACCTCGACCAATTCTCTCGGTATATCCGCTAAAGTAGCACCCAAAGATGGAGCCGACCTACTCCAAAAATCAAGACTCATATGTATCTACACCGAAGATTTCTCCGACAAGATGGATGTGTATCGAGTCTTGAAAGCCATCCGAGAATTAGGGTTGGTTGACCGGACTCTAAAGGGCGCGATTTATTACAAAGCCGGTAAGTAAACCCCATTTATCTCTCCAGATTCTATCGAGGAGCTAGGCGAAGTTGCGTTGGAGAAACGAGATTAATGATTGGGATATTAGATGTGTACACCAACCTAGAACTCTCCTCCAACAATCCCTACGATATCAAAGCCTCTCTCTACAAATCCTTTGAATTTTTCAAAAATCCTCCTCTTCCTCCATCCACAGCCCCTGGATTGAGATCCCGCACTGTCAAAAAGGAAAATGGGAAGGTGGATTCGTTCTTTCGAAAAATTAAGAAGGAACCAAGTGATTTGGCTATGCATCAGGTTAATTATGAATGAGATGCTGGGTTTTTTGAGAAATCGAGAGGCTTGAATTACAGTCTGGCGTGAGGATAAATGTGAATCTGAAGATTCTTGAAAAGAGAATGCTCAAGGAGTGTCAGCGCGTTTTGTTTCTTCCCGACGCTCTGAGGGCTAACAATCTCATTACCATGAATGTTTTCCCGCCACGACATTTGTGGAGCTAGGTAGCTACAACGAATTGATTCGGGATTCAAAATATCTTCTTCTAGAGAAGCTCTAATTCAGAGATCTAGCTATAGCTAGGATTGTAGGATGGCTTTAGAAAGTAAATACCTAGTAACATGTGCGTTTCATCAAAACCACACTTTCGATATAATCTAAGCGAATGGCAATTTCCTCTTCACTTCGCGATCGTGGATAAACTGGCCGGATTCGGGGAGGGATAAAAATTTGCGTACCTATGTAAATGACGATCTCTGTGGAAATGGATAGATAGCTAGCTATTTGCCAGACACGAGTTATTCGCTAGACATCTCATACTCGAGTATACAAATACAAATACAAATACAAAATTTTCCAGATCAGAACTATCTATTATGTGACTACCTAGGTAGTTTGTATTTTTCGTTTGTGATATACAGGGACGTAGAATGGAAGAGGATAGATTAGATTCGATTCGATCGGATGTAGAGAGAAGGCAGTGAGTTGGGGGTTTGTAGCGAGGTATATATATTTCTTTTAAAGTTTCTATTGGGTACCTAGGTATCTATCATTCTTGGGAGATGGTGAGGAGAGTGATATGAAACGAGCTGCTACCTGCCGTCTTGGAAGTAGGCATCGTCCTGAAATTCCCCGAGTTTGATTTCAAGAGTGGAGGTTGACGAATGGAGTGTTGGGATTTGGAATTTACAGATAATTACTTTGGGTACAAGCAGGTAAGATTGGAGTTGTCTACTATCTTACTGTATCAACTGCTACAGAGATTCCTTGCGTATAGTGGGCAGCTTTTACTTACTCTTTTGGTCGATTACTACCCTTCGTTATTCACAGATGAGAGTGGCGGGCCCGTATCTGAACTGACTAGCTTCTTCTTCCTTGTCCTCGCCGTCTCGGAAACTTTTCTTGACTGACAAGTTGTCCAGACATCCTCTTTTATTAATTGGCCGGCGTGTTGGTGCAGATATGGTGAGATGGGGGTATGAAAATTCAATACAAAATCCCATTGTATATCCTCAGCGTTTCTCCCGTTGTCACCGGGACCCCAATCGCTACCTCTATTTCGTTCGCATCCTTACCTCCAGGCCTCTCTTACTCTGCGATAGTACTAGACGTTCGAAGATTGGTCTTTCACCATCACTAGTCGTTTCATATTCCCTCACGAATAGACCTTAAACATAATCCTCATCCCTTCCCTCCACCATCCCACTCATGTCGCCCACCCTCTTCAAATGCAGCACCAATCTATATGCACAACTCCCATTCAAATAATATCTATTCAACTTCTTACTCCTCACAAATCCCAGTCGTTCATATAATCTCATTGCGGCCACATTCCCCTCTTCGGTTTCTAGAACTATTTCATCTGCTCCTCTGGCAGCCATCGCATCAATTGCCAGTTTTACCAATTTGGTTGCGATGCCCTGACCGCGAAATGATGATGAGACTGCGAGCATGGCTATGTATCCGCGAAGGGTGGGTGGGGAGTGTGAGGAATGAGTTTCGAGTTTGGCGATAAGGATGCCGTGGAGAGGGGGGGTAGTTGTGGGGGTTAGAGGGAGAGAGGGGTCGAGTGCCTGGGGAATGTTAGTTTGATTTGGAAGTGAATTGAATTATTGATTGTTTGTCTATTTGGGGGGACAAGGAAAAAGGGAAAATACCATAAAACATAAATCTCCCCATTGGTATAGAAAATATCGATACACATAGATGCTGTAAGGTTCGCTCAAATCTTTAGATATCAGGGCTCGAATTGAGGGTAAATATTGTTTCTCGAGTGAATGCTCGTATTGTATATATCGTAGTTCGGCTGGTAAATCTTTATTGCTTGTAGATATAGGTGTTGTGGAGCTGGTCTCTGAAGCCATGTTTGCGGAAATTATCGAAGTGGTTGTTTGTGAGGTCTCTACTTATTATTATGTTGTGTGTTCTGGGTATCTTTAAGAGGTATGTATGAGTATGTAAGAGTTGAGGCCCCGGCTTATTGTATACTAACCGAAAATATATCAAAAACCTTTATTTCTTCAACTTTTGAATTATATATTATTTCAATAAATATAAAAATGAAATTATTAAAATTGATATATATTATAATTAATTATTAAAATTATTCAAAAAAATAAATGGATTATTTTTAATATTTTTTTTTGATATAATTATAGATTTTCAAAATTAGAATTTCTAAAAAAACCAAAAAAATCGATTTTTTTATATAGAAAAAATGTTATATGTGATAAATTTCAAAAAATTTCAATTTTAAAAATCTATAATTATATCAAAAAAATGCTAAAAATAATTTATTTATTTTTTAAGATTTTGAATATAGTAATTTTTTATATAAAAGATTTTCAAATTAACTTTTTAATTATTAAATAAATTATAAAAAAAATAAATTTATATAAAAAAAACAACTTTTTTGTAGAGATTTTATTACAAAAAAGAATAGTATGCGATAAGCTGGGGCCTCAACTCTTACGTATAGGATGAATCTTGATGGAGGGGACGACGGGACAAATGATGATGATGATCCGATAAGTTGGACTGGACTGGATTGGCTACTGGATAAACTTCGGTAAAATTTGATTGAATTTCTGAATTTCTGATATGTCACGTGGATGTTTTGGGGAAACTTTTCGTTTCTTTCTTCACATGTAAAAATACCTCTTGCACCCCTGTCAATCTTTATTTTTAACCAATCAAAAAAGGCAAAAAGGTTAACATGAGAACGGAAAACAAAAAGTTCCGAGCAAGCCGCTAAGCTGCCAATCCCGAAGCAAGCGCAAACAATTGGGATCAATGCGATTACGTAGCTTGGCAGGTTCAAGTTAGAAGGATCGATGTAAGGTTAATCGATCCCAAATTTGTATTTGTGAACAGAAAAGTTTCCTTTCTTCATATTTTGAACTTTCCATTTTCTGACAATGAAGAGATGAGTTGATATTCATTTTTATTACTTCTTCTCATTCTCACTCTCTCCCCCATAAATTCTCAACTTGGCTCTCTCATCATGTCCCTCATCCGCCGCCTATTCCTCGGAACTCCGACGCCATCCCCCTCCCCCTCTATTCCAGCAACCCGTTCTTCCTCCCCCTCCAAAGGCGAAGAAGTGCGTCTCGCGCCCGTAGTTCGAGTCCTCACGCATAAAGAACGAAAACATAGAAAACGACGCAACACATTTATATTTTTCCTCGGTGGACTGTTTGGCTTGGTGATAGCGGGGTTTTTCGCGGGCAAGAATGATCTACTCGAGTTACCGGAAATGTTGGAGGGGATTACTATGGATAGTCTGATGGACGTGTTGCCGGCGGGATTTGTGAAGGATGCAAGGGATCTGGCTGTAGGTGCTGGCCTTTCTGTATTGTATCCCTCTTTCGGTTATGGGGGAAAGTTGGGCATGGGAAGGTTTTGAGTTACATGTGAGGCTAATGAATCTTTGTCTGTAGAAGGGAGAACGGGAAGCCGTGAATTATGATTCGTTCTCTGTGGGTTTACATCTCAAGTCGCAGGGAATTCTTGCGCATCATCCAGTCATTATGGTTCCAGGTGTTATCTCGACGGGGTTGGAATCTTGGGGTACGACTAATGCTTCACGGCCTTATTTTCGCAAAAGATTGTGGGGAAGTTGGAGTATGATGAGAGCTTTGGTTGCCGACAAAGAAGGGTGGAAAAGACATATCATGTTAGACAAACGTACTGGACTGGATCCTCCCGGAATCAAATTGAGAGCTGCGCAAGGATTTGACGCTGCCGATTTCTTCATAACAGGATATTGGATTTGGAGTAAAATACTGGAGAACTTGGCGACGATTGGCTACGATCCTACGAATAGTTACACGGCGGCTTATGATTGGAGATTGTCGTACGCGAATTTGGAGGTGAGAGATCAATACTTCACAAGATTGAAGACGCATATCGAATTGGCGAGTAAGATTTCAAATAAAAAGGTGGTCTTGGTTTCGCATTCTATGGGTGGTCAAGTGCTGTTCTATTTTATGCATTGGGTAGCATCTTCGAGTGGCGGAAACGGTGGAGATGATTGGGTTGACAAATATGTTGATTCTTGGATCAACATTAGTGGATGCATGCTTGGAGCTCTCAAGGGATTGCCTGCTGTGCTATCAGGAGAGATGAAAGATACCGCACAACTAAATGCATTTGCAGTTTATGGCCTCGAAAAATTCCTCAATAAAGAAGAACGAGCTGAGCTCTTTCGAGCCATGCCAGGAATCTCTTCCATGCTCCCAATTGGAGGCGATGCTGTTTGGGGTAATGCAACCTGGGCACCAGATGATACCCCAGGTCAGGAAGTCAGCTATGGACAATTTTTGAATTTCAAAAACCAAAACACATCAACGGGGTATCGAAATCTTACGGTATCGCAATCTCTAGACTATCTATTTAATACCACAGAAGATTGGTATCGTAAGGCAGTCAAGGGTAGCTATTCGCATGGTGTGGCTCATACTACAGCTGAAGTGGAAGCAAATGAAAAGGATCCAAAGAAATGGATCAACCCACTTGAAACGAGATTACCTCTTGCGCCAAATCTGAAGATTTATTGTTTCTATGGTATGTTCTTCCATCTCCAAAACTTTTCTTTTACCAATGCTAATATTCAACAGGTATCGGTAAACCAACCGAACGTGCTTATTTCTATCGCCACTCGGATAATCCCCTTTCGTCCCTCAATATCACAATCGACACCGGTCTATCCCAAGCTAACATAGACCACGGCGTGATTCTTGGCGAAGGTGATGGAACCGTCAATTTACTCAGTGTCGGTTACATGTGTAATCGTGGTTGGAAATACCATCGCTATAATCCAGCAGGTATAAAAATTAAGACCTACGAAATGCCTCACGAACCAGATCGTTTTAGTCCTCGTGGAGGTCCAAATACTGGAGATCATGTGGATATTCTGGGGAGACAAAGCTTGAATGATTTGATTTTGAGGGTAGCAGCAGGTAGGGGCGAGGAAATTGAGGAAATGGTTGTCAGTAGGATTGCGGAGTATGCGGCGAATGTAGAAATTGGGGAAGAGGAGGCGTATAAAGTTAAAGGGGAAGAAGATGATGGTAAAGAGGAGGAGAAGAGGAGAGGGAGAGTCAGGGACAAGGTTGAAGAGAAAGCGGAAGAGGTGTTTGAGACATTGGAGAGGATTGTGGCGGGGAAGGATGGGGATAAGAAGGGAAATAAAGATGAATTGTGATAGAAGGGGTACTTGTGTTTATCTTCCTTTGGGGCTTGGTCGGGATTGGGAAAGGGCTAGGGTTGACGATTGTACATACAAATGATACAACACACGATATCATACGAAACGACTTAGAATATGGAGTCTGATTAGGGAAGGGTCGGAGTTGGGATCGGAATCCAGGCGTTTTAGACGGAAGAGGGAAGAAAGTGCGTTTTTCATGTGTTGTACATAGCCGCACCTCATATTTGAACACAAAAGTATTGCGAACATCGCAATTCTTCTAATGCGCGTTTATCATTAGATGAGCAAGGAAGTCAGAGGGGATAGATGCATGTAGTAGTGATGAATCTGTATCAACAACCAATTGTTTAGCGAGCAGAAAGAAGAGATTTTTCTCCATTCCAGGTCGGTGGTGATTGTTAATCATGAGTATGTGTTCTTTGGCATTTCAGTCCTGCTGTTGTTCTTGATCGTTGGTATTCGGCACTTGGAGTCTTGAACGAACGTGGTTTCCAGATACAACTCGATAGTTCGACGTCACGAAGGAGAGAGGGAAAGTGTATTGACTTGATCGAAATTGCTGAACTTTCTCAAATACTCAGGCTCTGGATCTCTGCATACCTACGTACCTAAATGTACGACCTAGTTGTATCTAGTACTGTACTTAAACTCCTCCTAGTCAAATCCTCTTTCTTCTCTTTCCGTTTCTCATAGAATCGATCTCGAATTCGGCTTCATCGCGGTTTCCCGATGTGTTTTGGACAGATTGAGGAGGAAAGAACAGAAGGGGATAGTGATGTGCTTGCTATTTCTATATTAAATGGAGTAAGAGCGATTTGGTTTGTTTAGTTACTCAATTCATCGTATTTAAACCCGAAAGGACGTTGATTTTTTTCTTTTTCTTCTCTTTTCTTTTCTTTCTTCTCATCATCAACACACGTACTTCTTCTTATTCATAGCTTACAGATTTACAACAACGCTAACAATAACATTCGTTTTCTCACACGATTCTTGCTTCTGGCTTATTGCTAGGGTGGTTCTGTTCTCATTGACATTCGTTTTGGGGATATAGATTTATTGTCTTATTCTTTACATCGTTGCCTCATTTGTTGAGAGTTTCTGATCACTTAAACCCTCAGTGCTTCTCATTTCATCTCGAGTTGTCAATTTAGTCCATTCATAAGTACAGTAGGGCTGAAGGACAATTTTCCCTCAATTATATGCCTGGTCATTATTAACACCACACTCTTTCCTACGGATCAAACTCCGGAAGCAGCATACGCCTAATCTCCATCAACAAGGACTATTCTCTCGCCTGTTTTACGCATTCCTGCAATTACAACTGTAGTAACGTCAACAGGGGTGATAGTACATATAATTCCTATCACAATATATGGCTTTTAATTTGCTAGTTATTTTGTGACAGACTATTGTGTCTGCAGGGTGACGAACGAGACGGTCGATGGATTCACGGCAGACTCAAGATCATCAGGAGAACCAGGAAGTCAGACGAACGTTATCTCAAGCGTCTAACTCGGCTGAGGAAAAGAAAACTCTAGAGACAGCGGTGCAGTCAACATCGAGAGAACACTCGCGACACGCATCGCCAGTACAGTCGCCACCACAAGCATCACTCTCGCCTAAGCGGCGTACATGTCAACGCAAGCCATCTCCCCCATTCGTCAGTGCCGTGGAGAGAACGATAAGAGAGACATTGGCGCCAAAGAAGAGGAAAAGGAAGTGGTGCCAAAAACAGGTGAAGACAGCAAAGAAGTGGCTTCAAAGATTGATCAAGAAGTTTCAAAAGACAGCCCCAGCGCAATCGCCACTGCTAGAACCACTTTCGTCGTCGGCGCTAGCTCCAGCTCCAGCTCCAGCTCCCGCTTAAATTCTAACTCCAGGTCCAACTCCAAGTCTAACCCCAGGTCCAGCTCCAGATCCAGCCTCAGGTCCGACTCCAGGTACAGCCCCAACCCCAGGTTCAGCGTCAGCTCTAGTGAAAGCCCCAGAGCAAGCCTCGGAGCAAGCATCGGAGCACCTCCCAAGAAACGAAAGTATAGAAAAATACGATCCGTTCTAAAAGCAGTCAAAGAATATTGGAAGCCAACACCCAACCCACCACGTAATCCATTACAGTCACAATCACTATGGCAAACAGAAAACCCTCCAGCAGCATTGCGACCAGCTCCAGTGCAAAAACGGCAGAGAAAGAGGACACGCATTCTGAGAGCGATCAAAGAATATTGGAAGCCATCAGACAACCCAGTACCACCACGCGACCCATTACAATCGTGGGCACGGCCATCAGCAGTGCCACCACCTCCAACACGAGCCTCAGTGCGACCCCCAGTGCGACCCCCAGTGCAAAGAAAGCAGAAGAAAAAGAAAACAGTTCTAAAAGCGATCCACGACTATTGGAGGCCTCCTCCACCTTAATTGCTCGGGAATCTGAAGGTCAGGACCAGAATCAGTCTGGGGGCAGTGGGGATGAATACATGCAGATGCAAGTGGTTGAGAGCGCAAGAAACGCTACACATGTTGCTCCTGAAGTGGGAAACTTTGCAAGTGAAAACCTCTTGTCAAGTTCGTCAAGTTCTACCATGATGGTGGCGACTGCGTCGTTTACTAGTGCATCGATATCTCATAACGACTTACCTTCGACGTCAAGGACAACGATGACTACTATACTATCAGCCTCAATCTCTGCACTTGATATTCGAAACAGTGAGAGTGATTCTGATCGATCCTCACAAACTGGTCTTTTGACTGCAGGCTCTGTACCTCCTGCTCAATTTCTCCCAAATGAATCCAATTTATCCACTCGAGGTGGCCGTGTAGCTGGAGGTTCTCTTGGTATGATGTTCGCAGTAATCGACCGGCCCCGCATTAGTCAATTTTCTAACACATCGAATCGATTACCCTTCATAGTTGATAGAATCATAACTTTCGCTGATGGGCGCTCCCAAGCAAACTTGAGAGAAGCAGTATTAGGTCCTCCCCAAGAGCCGAGAGAGGGATACTCCGATACGGAAGAGGAAGATAATATGGATTCAACTTCAGATTCAAGTTCAAGTTCGGAAACTGATGAGGAAGACGATGAGAAAAGCGAGACATCTTCAAGTGATTATGATTGTCCTGGATCAGGGACCAGCCATCGTCGTCAACGGACAACACAAGATCGACAAGATGAAAAAGATTCGGGATCTGGGGGAAATCATGGTTCAAACACAGGTAATGGGAATGGAAATGAAGATAAAGAATCACCCGATCAATCAGATATTGTTACACGATCCGCGCAAGAGGCCAATAGTAAAAGCAAGGACATACTGTCAATATTGGAGGCGGATAACAATGTCAAAGAACTTCATGCCGATCGCTGGGGCTTGAATCTCCTTGGAGGAAAAGGACAGGAAAAGAGACAAAGACGTGGTAATACTACTTCGGATTTCTTTGGAGGCGGTTTTAGGAGTTTGGGTTTCGGTATTGCTGCTCAAACATCCAATGGAAAGAGAAGAAAAATTGGCGAGAAGGGCGAAAAGAAGGCGAAAGATGTGGACATGGACGATAATGATGATGTCGATGATGAAGATTCTGGGTTTGACATGGATGATGAGGGATCTGTCAGTAATGTTCTATTTTACAGCTTCAAGGGACTAGTGAAGAATTGGGATAGATTGGAGTGTTCGAGGAGATATCGAGTTTGATGCGTATCAATGCAGTGGAACCTGTACAGCAAACGGGAGGCTAGTAGATGTTGACGTTGAGGAAGTGGGATCGGTAGTTGTCTTTTCGATTGAGATAGTAGATGGACGATCGTATGGGTTGTCGTGGAAGGGGTAGGGAGGAGGAATTGTGTGAAATGTATTTTAGATGTTGATCAGGGAGATACATACATCAGCGACTAAAGTCAGCACCACATCATTAGCGAAATAGATCAGCTTTATACATCAAGCCTATACTCTTTCTTGGTGTAGTCATGAGAAGAGAATTCTTCGTTAATTCATATACAGTTTTCGAGTCGAGATCACCCCCTTCCATGCATAACCTTCTTGATTTTGTCCCGAAACGCCGAACTATGCTGGGCTGGCCATTATGTCATACACCTCATCTTGTCTCATCTCATCATATATCATATCGTACACCCTCTACCCATTCATATAATACATCCTCCCATCCCATTCCACAAGACCATCTCCTTCTATATTTTTCATATTCGAACCTCTGCTCACTCCACAAGATCACAATATATCTTGCCACTACCCAAACCCCAACAATCTTCTTTTAGACTCCCGTACTCATTTTTAAGTCCCTCAACTCATTGTGATCTTTCCCTCTCCTACCCGCATCTCCCATCCCTCCAGCCCGTCCTCCACCTCTCTTCCCAGCGCTCGCAATCAAACTCCCTCTTCCCCAACTTCCGATTCACATCATTGTGGGCCTCGCACATCCACTTTCCAAACTCAGCGCGACTTTCCGTGCGCACCTTGTTCTCGGCCATGTAGGTTTGGAAATCGGAGGCGCAGGTCCAGCAGGGGTAGAGTTGGGAGAAGAGGCTCATGAAGGTGGAGATGTTGGTGCGGTCGGTGGGGGTGGGGTTGCTGGGGTAGGAAGCGGAGAGCGTGTGCAGGAAGGTCCAGGAGGCGCGGCCGAGGGCTTCGATGTCGGGGGGGCAGTCGGTTGGGGGGGAGGTGGTGGGTTGAGAGGTTTGGAGAGATTTGGTGGTGGTGGTGAAGGAGGCGAAGGAGTTGCAGGAGCGGCAGCTGAGGGGGGGGGAGGGTTAGTTTTTGGGGTTGGGTGGATGTGATGTGATGTGATGTGATGTGGTAGGATGTGATTGGGAGGAGAGGAGAATCAGTATGTATGACTTACGGTTTCCCATCTTTTCCCAATATTACACCTTTGGGATATTTTTTTGGAGGGATGGCCGCGCTCGCGGTAGGTGTATTTGTGGTTTCATCCTGTGTATCGTCTGCCATTTTGGCCTTTGTTATTCGAAGGAAGGAGAAGGATTAGATGAAATATGCATGAAGTTTTACAAAAATGTACGAAAATGTCTAGATGTATTAATAAGTGAAGCTCTGGTTTGTAAGAAAAGGAAGATGATCGGCCTTTTCCGCATTTTCCGCATGGGTACAGGGGTATGATTTAAGCTTAAAAGATTGACGTGTCATTGGCGAATAGAAAGAGGCGTAGTGCTGATAGCTTGAAGCAGAGGCTAATCGTCATTTCTCCAACATGTGCCCCGCAAGTGGGATGGATGGATAAAGTTTCATGTGCTTTTTACGATAGTGAGATTTTGACGTTGGGATCTAGGGAAATTACAATCACAATACGAGTGAGAATTTGAAAGATTGGAGAGAAGGAATTTGAGGAATGGAAAGAATGGGGAGAATACCGACGTTTTTGTTGAAGACGAAGAGTGTGCCGAATGATGGGTACGAGGAGAGGTTTGAGGAAGTGAGTTTTAATGCGATGAGGCATGGGGGAGGGGTGGAGGGGAGTGATAGGGGGTTTGAACCGATTTTCGTGCCGGTATTGGAACATAGGTTTGTGGATGAAGGAGTGGATGAGGTTAAGCGGTTACTTAAGGAGAGGGGCATTGGGAAAGAAGAGGGGAAGAAATACGGAGGCTTGATTTTTACCAGTCAGAGGGCTGTGGAATTATTTGCTAAGTTGGTGGAGGAGGGTAAAAATGAAGATGGTATGCGATGAATTTGATTCGATTGAGTGTTATAGATCATTTACTAATAATTTTCTAGATAGCGATGAATGGCCACATCTACAAGATATACCAGTCTATACCGTCGGCCCAGCTACTTCACGAGCATTACGATCGATACCTCAAACCCCCGCCTTGAATATCTTTGGTGCCGAATCAGGAAATGGAGAAGCATTGGCACATTACATGTTAGAACACTATGGGGATTGGTATAAGGATCGCTCCATAAAACCATCTCTACTTTTCATGGTTGGAGAACAGAGAAGAGATATTATTCCTAAAACATTGATGAATCCAGAACTATCAGTCGAGAAGCGAATTCAAGTCGATGAATTGGTGGTTTATGGTACGGGAGTAATGGAATCTTTTGAGGAAGATTTCAAAGCTTTATTGAAGGAGACGGAGAATAGAGATACGAGATGGGTGGTCGTTTTCTCACCGACAGGATGCGATGCTATGTTACGATCACTCGGGATGTTAGATTCCCACACTGGGAAAATACAACGAGCGGATGAACAGGAGGATGGAAAGAGAAAGACTTTCATAGCGACGATTGGACCTACCACGAGGGATTATCTCAAGAATACTTTTGATTATGAACCGGATGTTTGTGCTGAGAAGCCAAGTCCTGAAGGTGTAATTGAGGGGATTAAGAGATTCTTGGATAATTGGTAGCTATAGATATCTCGTTAACGATTGAAAGATTCTCGACACATGATCTGCTCATTTGGGTTTCAAGTGCAGGTTTGTATGTAATTTGTGGATTGGTGATACAGCATGTTGAATTTGATGCAATGTCGATGGGAATTCATTCCGAAGGTTGTTATGCATAAAATCGTCCGATCATTCATTTTGATAACGTACAAAAACGGCTATAGATGTCGTTGGTCCGTCGACTTGGAATCTTATATATAATTGGAGATATATTTTGAGTATCGGACGGAACAATCAAATCTCGCTGAGAGACATACAACGAGAATCCAAGGACGAGATATAAACATCAAACATCAAACATCAAAACATTGAAATCTACCACTCAAACAAACATTTCTTGGCTCCCGCACACCTTTCAGCCTTATCCGTATCTCACCTAATCTAACCAATTGAAACTTAGTGGCGCCCCCCTTCAATAATCAGCACTGGCAATTGGAAATCGACAATCGACATCTTTCATTTCATCAGACCACGAATGGGTGAATTCACTCCAACCAATTGCTCAAGTACGACAGCTTTTAAAGTATATAATTCTTGCTCTCACAGGTTACTACAATTACCATCTCGAGATTCATTCCACGAAGCTAGCTAGCTCTACCTCTCACATTCGCATCTTATCAAGGTTCCAAGCTATCCTCGGAACAAAACCACAAAACATTCCAGTAGCCCTCGCGCATATCAAACACGACATATACCTACCAGTGGATCCATCAATGCAGTAAAACCATTCCAACACCGCATTCACAATCGCATCCATCCACAATGCCAAATAATCGCTATCACGACGAAACCCCCATGTCCTCCTCGGGCAACTCTACCCCCGCCCTCTCAAACTCCACAAGTTGGGCTGTCCCGACCATTTCCACCGCAGTCACTGGATTACTGCGACGTTTTTCCACCGAACCTTCTACTCATTCGGGTAACGGCAATGGGAATCATCACCACAATACTTCCAATCACGCAAAATCCCAATCTCCATCATTCTCCCCAGCACAAAATGGTATTCAAGGCGTCTACACACCTCCTCATCGAACAGCATCGCCTTTTCAACCACCGCCTTTGTATCCGGTGACGTTGAAGGGGTGGAGAGAAAATACAGATCCCTCTGCGCAGTTGTTGAGCCGCGCATTGGCGGAGGAAATTAGATTACTGGTTCCCCCACGCTTACAGTTGTGCGAGGAATGGAATTTGGTTTATAGTTTGGAACAGGATGGGGTTAGCTTGGGCACGCTTTATAAGAAGTGTGATGACTTGAGGGGTTTGAGGAATGGCTTTGTATTGGTCGTTAAGGATGGAGAGGGTGGGGTATGTATCTTTATTTATCTCTTGTCTGGTCGTTATCTTGGTGGTCTTGGGGCTACGTTTGAGATTGGGCATGTGGCTAATGAGATTGTTCACTATAGTTATTCGGCGCATACCTGACAGAAGCACCGCACCCCGCACCTCACTATTTCGGCACAGGAGAATGTTTCCTCTGGCGCGCGACCATCCTTTCCTCCTCCCTCCTAGCAAATCTTCCCCCTCCCCCTTCCTCCGACACAACAAACTTGCAACGCTCAACCACCATCGGCGCTCCTCGAAATCAAAACCATAACCCCGCCCATCCCTCTTCACTCCTCTCTCCCACCTTCTCCCAACACCCTCCCAAATCCCCCTCCTCCATTAAATCAGGCGCCAGCACGCCCGAACGAATCCGCTTCAAAGCCTTCCCCTACTCTGGAATAAACGACTACATGATGCTCTGCGAAACGGGCTTTCTATCAATAGGAGGTGGAGATGGGCATTATGGACTCTGGTTAGATGATACCTTTGAGAAGGGCGTAAGTAGCAGTTGTCCAACATTTGGAAACGAACCATTGAGTGATGAAGGGGAGAAATTTGATATCATCGGGGTGGAAGTGTGGAGTATTGGGAATTAAGCGGTAGTGATATACGGGAGGGAGAGGTCCTCGGCAAGGAGAAAGGAAAAAGATGCAGGAGATGCAAAGGGCCTGGAAGAAAGTGAAGAGGAGGTTACAGGACGATTCGGATCGATTAACATATGCATGATACCCTTATTGCGAAATTTGTAGGCAGCAGTTTGAAGCAACTTTTTCTCTCTCTCATTACAGTCCATTAATAAGAAAATGGATGGCGCGAGTAATATAGCAGGAGTGCACGGCGAGAAAGAACCATTCTATAGTCACATTATCAAACTTTTCTTCAAAAGTTGAAATGGAATTCTGGTGCAAAAAGTAACTGACGTTTAAAACTTCACATTATAGAGAAATAGTACAGTGTGAGTAACATGATGTGATTGAGATTCTACACTACAACCCTCTATTCCGTTCCTGACACTTCAATTCTTTCACTCTCAGCCAGATATCACAAGATCACAGTATCACGATACATGAGAGGAAATACCAAACTGCCGTTCTCATCTAATCTCATATCTGGTAGAAGAAAATAAAAAATGAATGCCAAAAGCTCACCGGGAAAATGAACATTTCCCGGTGAGCTAGGCAATTTTTTCTTGGATGCTTCTAGTTTTCGTCGAGAAATGAATGTTGAGAGTAAATAGTGCCTACCTAGTATTCTCTCGGTACTATTTCAAGAGCACTAATAAATGATATACCTAACTGCGTGATCCAAGTGTAGAGTAGCTAGCTGAGGAAATGCACATTTCGATAGAAAAGAAGTGTAGACATGACACCGAGATCACTTCAAATTTGTATTTGCACTTGGAAAATTCTTGGATATTGTATGTGGAAAACCTTATATTCATCAAGATCGTTAATACATCATACAACCTAACGCCAGGTATCAAGTATCATTTCTCGATGATCATAGCCCTAACACCGTAATCATCAATATCATCAACCATCCAATACAAGAAAGCCCATTCCCAGTTTTCATCTCCTGCCTAATACACACCTTCGACGTAAAATCAAGCACTAGCCTGTACAACTCTGAACCCTCCCTGTACCAACTTGGTAATCTCTTCATTCTTGTGTTGTAATAAACTCAAAGCATATGCGACATCATTCCACTGTCTTTCGCTTTCACATCTAGCTAATCGAGCTGCCAATTTATCGGCAAGTTGGCGGGCATGTTTATCCTATTTATCAGATCAGTATCAATTCCTGTGATGTAAACATATACAAAAAATGTAGCAACATACCTTTTCAATAAATCCAGCCAAGAACTTAATGATTCTCCTGAGAGCATCCTCTTCAAGCTCCTTCTCGGCACTCAGCAAGCTGAACATATCAACAAAGTGATTATATACAGCGTTGTCCTTCGTGCTCAGTTCAGTAAAGAACATTCTGCTCAAATCTGCGATACGTTTGTCATCATCTTCGAGACATTTAGCCATCTCTCCTAGTTGTCCCTTGACCTTCACTTGACCGGCAAGAATGAGGAAAGTGAGAGTCATCAAACAAGTTCTCTTCACACTTGCATCCTTATCGTTCAATCTTCTATAAAGGAAGTCTGTATTTTCATCAATAAGATGGTTAAAGCAGACAGCCATATCACCAAGAGCGATTACCACATTCGAACGGATAATCGGGTCCTTCGATCGCTCCATAATAGTGATGAGAAGAGGAAGATTAGTTTCACAATATTCGGAGCTGACGCACATGAGCTTTGCCAAGCAAAGGGTAGCAGCTGCTTGAAGGTTGCGATCCTTGTAGGTTGTGTTATTGGAACAAATTTCAGCCACAAGTGGTCCAAAGTTAGCGAGTAGGGAATTTTGTCCAAATAACAGTTCACGTTCTCTGATGTGTGCCATGGCGTCCGTGAAATCATCTTCTGTTGTTCCTCCTATCATATCGAGATCATCGGCAGCTTCTTTCGCGGCCTTATCTGCTGGTGTCTCCGCTGCTTTGTTCTTTTCAGCGTCTACCTTCCGTCTTTTGAAATCCATTTCGCAAAGCTCAAGATGCACAATCTGCTTGATAGCAACATGTCCGACTATAAATAGAAGTTGCGATAATGCAACAGAACCCTTCTGCTTGTTTTCGGATGGTGCTGGAGTTTCAGTCTCCGCTGGTGGCGCTTCTTCTTCCCGTCCCTGTTCTTCGGCGTCTGCATCCGGCATATCTACGTCCATCATGTCTGTATCATTGTCCTCATCCAATTTGGGTTGAGGCGATGCCGCAGCTCGCCGCTGGAATACGTCTTTTGTCTTTCTTCGGAGGATCTCTGAACAAAGGCTGTCTGGATGTTTCGAAAGGGCATAAATGGCACTAATCGCCTGTTCGGCTACACCATACCACTCTTTATTATCAGACTCCACTTCGATAATAGCAGCCAACTTTCCGAGGACGGCATGATCGTTACTAAGCTTCGAAGTTTGCTGCGTCGCTTGCCTTCCAGTAGGGTTAATTCGTCGCAGGGCTAAGCATGTGTATTTGGCCAACTGCAAGTCTGATCTACCAAGACTCCCCAAACCAATCCTTAACATTGTTTCCATTTCTCCAACCACAATCTCCGGCTTTGCGGTAGCAAGCATACCCAACACAATGATTGCACCTCGTCTCTGACTCTTCGAAATTTCTCTCTTCTGGACTCCATAGACTTGCCAAAGTTTTGAGATGACGAGATCCGGAATATGGTTCGCCTTCATCATGGTGCTCAATAGTTGCTCAAGGGAGGTTAATTCTGCCGGTGTCGCTCCAAACGTCAAACTAATCATATTACGTGCAACGTAATTCGCAGCATCGTTTCCACTGTATGTATCAGGGGCTTCAAAAAAGAGACGTTTGTAACAATCAATAAGATGATTTTGAACACCCTTTCCTTCGTCACTATTACCCTTGGTCCAGATTAGACGTAACATTCTTCTGATGCCAAGCTTATTTTGTTCAATATTGTAAGCATCTCCAACTTCGAAGTAGTCCATAGCCTCAATAACCTCGCTCTTATTCTTCGATCCAAGCAGTTGACAGATAATGGTAGTAGCTCCATGTAAAACTTCAATAAATTTAAGAGCCTCAACATAGTATCGTCTGGTCAAAGTTAACTTATTGATAGCCTCTGAAGTAGCAGCTTCTTCTTGTGCTTTTTTGATTGCCGCAATCTTTTCCTCGTCGCTCATAGGTGCTTGAGCCTTCTTAGGAGAATCCGATTCCAGAACAGTAGCATCGTCTAGTAGTTGGGGATCTGCTTCAGCTGTGGTAGTATCAGCTAATCCAGCTGCTTCGGCTGGAGGCTTTAGTGCATTCAGCTCCGCATCAACGGCTTCTAATCGAGAATTCCACTCCTTGAAATTCAACTGTGATCCGTGCATTAGACTAAATGGATGGGTTTTGATCAAGGTTCCCAAGAGTTTGACGGCATTTCGGCGGACATTACTACTCTTATCCTCTAAACTTCGCGCGGCTAATTCGGCGACTCTCTGTCGACGCTTTGGAAACTTTTGTTCGAGTTCACAAAGCTTGATGTAAACCTGGATTGCTCGACATCTACAGTAAGGGTTGATATCCAAGAATCGTTCTTCCAATACGTCAAAGAATGCATTGAGTTGTGATTTGTGGTTATCGCCACGTTCTTCCTGCTTACTCAGGTCTGCTATGAGATTTCCACAGATTTCGATGAGGGCACATCGTACTGCGTAGTTTTCGCTATCCAGTTGTTTTGCCAGCATAGTCATTTGCTTGATAACCAGCCTAGGAGCGAGCTCGGAGAGTTTGACGATAAATGCCGAGACCGACTTCGGTCCCTTGGTATCGTTACTATTGAATTCTTTGTTGCTAAGCTCTCGAATTATTTCGTCCGATAATTGAGGATAATCATATTGCTCGGATAGAATATGCAAAAATTCGGCCATAGGTTCGGCTAAATGCTCGAAGTAGGTCAAATTCTGCACGATAGATATTTGTGCAGCTATCATCTAGTCAGTTCAAACCCATTCATACAACTGAAATTAACCTACCATAACCGTGGCCGTGATGCTTGACAGCAATGCAGAGCACTTTGAAAGCGTGCATCCGGATTGCTGTATTCTTAACTCTTTGCTCACTTTCTAGTACCATATACACAGGTCTCGTAAATAGACTAATGAATGTATCCCTCTCGGATGTTGTTAGAAATATCTTTGAGAGCTTTAACTTTAGGACCTTGCACATAGTGTCAAGTGCTGTTTGTAATTGAGCAGATGAGTCCCAGTTCTCGTTTTTCGCACTTGCTTTAGCTTTTGAGGCCTTGCCTCTTCCACGAGCCACCGGAGCAGTTGTCGACTTCTCGGCCGCCTTGGTTTCCACCGCTGCGATCGTCCATTGTAATAGGAATCCAAGGATCTCCAGTAATTGTTTATGGTGAGCGACTAATTCCTGTTCATCCGTTTCGAGATCGTTATGGATGGTATCCGCTTCGGCAGAAAGACCGGAGACTATGAGGTCAAATGTTTTGCTCAAGGCATGTGTAGGTAGGGCGGAAGAGGATCTAGAAAGTTTGAAGAGTTCAGAATCTGGTTCGGTGGGGTAATTTTGAGTAGATTGAGGACAAACTGGTACACACTTTAGCAGGAATTGCAAGGAATCAAATGATGAACTTCTTGTAATAGCATCTGGATTCTCTGCAACTGAATCCACGATGGGATTAAGGACACTGTTGACCAGGGCATTTGTGAGTGATTCGGGGTCATTTTCGCAATCGACAAGGTTGGAATCTGCCTCTGGTGTCGGAACAGTCGCGGGGTCGCTCATATAATGCTTAAGAGCATCATTGATATCGAAATCTATTGTATCCATATTGTCGACAATGACGACCTATCCAGAATCGCAGTAGAATACATAAACCGAGTTTGTGTATTGTCGTTGATTTATTTGTTTGTACGGGTGAAGTTTGCGACAATAGTTGCTAGGGGTTTTGTGTTTATTGATGTTGACTTTCTACCACTTCAAGACTAGCGCCTAGAATCTGCACCGCGATTTGACCGCGACTTGAAGACCCCGCCAATAATCACATACAGCGAGCAATAAATTACTACTGCGTCGATTGTACTAAGCAACCCGATCGAGATCTCGACTCCATTCAGTGATGGGTCTTTGAGAATCTCAATTTACTCAAAATTCTATTCAATAGCAATATGTCAACAGCACGTCAACGTCAAGGGAATACCAAAAATTCTTTCCAAATTCACAATGACGAGACAAATCAAGAAGAGGCAATGAATGAAGAGGGCCTCGAGAATGACGAATCAAGAATTGAAGATAACGAGAGGCTGCAAGATGAAGGGTATTCGGAAGAGTCTGACGAAAGCGATGATGCTGTTGATGCTGCTACTGCAGAGGATATCGCCAAGTTTGAAGCAACTTTCAAGGGCATAAAGGATCGATTTCGGCTGATAAATCGTATTGGAGAGGGTAAATCAAGCAATTGTATGTTATGGCGCGGTTACTAACGCGATCTAGGTACATTCTCTACCGTTTACAAAGCAGAGGATCTCTTATATGAGCATTACGATAATGATTGGGATATTGAAGAGAAAGAGCATTCCGCATGGACGTCACCGCCCGTGAAAAAAAGGAAGACAGGTGGAATTCGAGAAGTCTTGGACCAATATAATCAACAACGCCGTGGGAAAAAATATGTTGCTATAAAGAAAATTTATGTTACAAGCAGTCCAACTCGAATCCTCAATGAGCTAGACCTCCTAAACGACCTCCGAGGCTGCGATTCAGTCTGCCCCCTCATTACAGCATTCAGGCATACCGATCAAGTAGTTGCAGTTTTACCATATTTCAGACATACGGATTTCAGAGAATATTTCAGGAAGATGAAAGTCTCTGATATGCAGGTGTATTTCCGGTCGTTGTTCACCGCCCTGAAGGCCGTTCATGCCCAGGGTATCCTTCACCGGGACATCAAACCGACGAATTTCCTCTACGAGCCGGATAAGAAAAGGGGCGTACTTGTGGACTTTGGATTGGCAGAGCGGGAAGAAGAGGATTGCAAATCTTGTCTGTGTACAAGAGATTATGATACACGCAAAAGGAAGCTAGAGAATAGTGTAGCCGTTCAAAATTTGCCATCGGCTGGCTACCCAAAACATGATAGTCGACCATCGCGGCGTGCAAACCGAGCTGGAACTCGTGGCTTTCGGGCTCCTGAGGTGCTTTTCAAATGTCAAGAGCAACGGACGAAAATTGACATCTGGTCTGCAGGAGTAATACTTTTGACTATACTTTCAAAACGTTTCCCGTTCTTTAATTCGGCTGATGATGTTGAGGCAATGATTGAGATTGCTACCATATTTGGAGTCAAGAGAATGAAGAACTGTGCTTATCTTCACGGGACTGTTTTTGAAACCAATATTCCTACGATTGGCCAGGCTGGGTTCGCGTTGGAGAAAATCATCCTATGGTCAACATGTAGAAACGATGGAGGACCAGATGGGGCGGAACAGCCCTTGACTAAGGAAGAGAAATTGGCCGTCGAATTTTTGGAGCGCTGCTTGGAGCTCAATCCGCACAAACGTATCAGCGCGGAAGATGCCTTGAATCATCCATTCCTTCTGGAACCAACGCAAGATGACATCAAGAACGAAGATTATGATGAGGACGAATTAAGTATGATTCCAGCGTAATGAATGGTTGTATTGGCGCTTTGTGGATTATGGGGAGTATGGTACATGTGTGTTTTGGGACTTTATTGTATATATATATATTAGGATTGTGAGGACATTGATATCTTGCATGTCAGTTCTTAAGATACTGTTTTACACAGCACGCAATCTAGATGTAGAGGTTACTTCAAAAAGTGAAGCCTCGCTCAGATTGCACAGCACCCATAATAATGAAAATCAATTCACCAACGAAAAAAATGGTTTCATAATTCCTTTCATTTTCATCAAGAACTCCAATAGCCATTTGTTCAGAAGCCATTTATGGTATTTTGAGAAAACCTATAATCCATTCGCTATGAATTTTCCCATTTATGCAACCAATTCAACAACTCCTCCAGCCTCTGTAATCTTTCTCTCTGCCTCCTTGCTGAACCATCTTGCGCGTACAACCAATGGTATTTCTGGGATTCTACCCTTTCCGAGAACTTTTGAGTAGCCGAGTGGGAGGAGGTCGAGGACTGGGACGGTGTCTTTCTTTTCGCCGGAGAGATATTCATCACGCTTCTCGGCTGGGACGAGGGACCAAAGCTAGGGAACAATATTAGTAAATGTATTTTTGTGCCATATTCGTCGCATCTCGAAAGTTCTCAACTTCCCCGCGATCCAAATCGTTGTAGAACTGAACGTACCTTGTCAAGGTTGACAACTGGCTTCCAGAAGTGGTTGCCTTGCTTGTGGAAGTATCTCATACCGACCTTTCCGAAGTAACCTGGATGGTACTTATCCATGTTGGTTCGGTGGTGATGTTGACCACCAGCAAGACCACGACCACCTGGATGCTTGCGGTGCTTTCCTACACGACCTTTACCGGCGGAAACATGACCGCGGCTATACAGAAGAAATCTCGTCAGCTTCAATTCTTTTTCAGTCCTCCATCCAATGCACTAGCAACAAGTTCGAGGGGAATTGATCTGGGCGCGCGCGCTCAATCGGTTTGTGATTTTGTCGATAGGAAATTGCGATTTCGAGGGATAGAACGTACTGCTTGCGGGTTTTGCTCAAATGGGTAGGCATCTTGTCGTTGAAAGAGTGCCGTGTGGTTGTCGATGTCTTTGGTGAGACTTTGAAAGTTCGAAAAATGTTAATAGGAATTCAAACAATTGTGTGGGCGCACGTGGACGCTAGTAAGCGAACAAATAAAATAGTTTTTGCCTCAGGTCCCACAGTTCCATTTCTTCTCACGAACCCTCGCCGTGCTTTCTATCTTGTTAATCTCGAAATTGATCTTCTGTTCATTTTTCAAACCTTACTGTGTTGTATAAAGTTGATGAATATTTATCATTTTGTCAGAATTTCAAATGCTCAATATAACCCAAATCTTCTATAGAAAATTTACAATATTTCATGATCCAGCTGATATATTCAGACAAATCCCCAGATTATCTGGTCTATAATCATCATAAATCTACCTTCGTGGTATGCGTTCTCTAGAAATCAAGTATTGCACTACCAGTGTGGAACAATCTTTGTACTCTATTGGCCTATTTCTGTATGTTGTACGAATGCAATGTAGGATACTTCCGCAAAAAAACCTCGTGGGCGAAGTCTCTCTTGATGCGAAATGCTCACAAAACAAATTTCCATAAGCCAACCAATTTTCTGAAATCAACCCGTTTCTTGTCATTGCGAGTTCTAAAATGCCTTTTCCCAAGACTTGTGGATTGGAATCATTCGGCACCTCCTAGGCATTTCGCAGTCATCTTGACTCGACATCTAGTTTGAGGATTGCAATTTTTTGCGCGGATTTTTTGACCAAAGCATCCGGTTTTGATTCGGTCGCTCCATGTTCTCAGACTGTTCTCTTGTATACACGGCTGAATATCCATATCAAACATACCATGGCAATTAGTTAGGCAATCAGCCTAGCATGGTCCAAGGACACGAAAACGGTAGCATATTTTCACAAAGCAATCCTGAATGTAACAATTTGAAATCGCAAAATTCGATTGACATCCAAGGCTCACACCCATCCATTTCTCTTGATGCTCTTGATGCGGATGCACCTTTTCATTCGCCAGATTCCTACAAGATCCATAGATCACGACACTACGTGAAATGGGGAATTGAATGGCAAACCCTCTGCTTTGTGATATTGCTCGCTTCGTGTGAGTATGCTCTAGCCACTGGCCATCACCTTTGTTTCTCCTCCCTTAATAAGACTGCGGCTGGGTCACCATTACGCCAGCAATGAGCTATCAGGTTTGTTACTATATTTGCTTATGCCACTTCTTCACTATTTGCAGCCGCAATAGGAGCAGCTTACGATCAGCACTTGTGGACGTTATTCAAACAGGATTCTTTCTCGCTCAATGGACTTGACGATCTTCTTGCCTTGAAGTCAACGCCTTCGGGTTCCTTCAATGTCGAAGTACTTGCACCTGCCAAATTGGCCGTACTATCAGCATCTGCTCCTGGTAGGTAATTCCCCCCTCCTACAAAGTAAGTCACCATTATTGCTTATTTTTTTCGTACAGGTTGATAGCGCTAGCAGCCATTGCACCGCCTGCTACTTTATCTGTGGTTCTAGGAATTTCTATTGAAAGCCAGCCGGCGGAAGTTCCAGCTCTCGACTAGAGCTCGGAAGGATTTTACTATCCAAGGTTCGATACAATCGCTCGGCCGACAGGCGAACTTTCCGCACTCACACCATCTGCAGCCGAAAGGATGGATGTTCTTCCGTATTATATACTGGCTGACAATTCGTCTTACTACTTACAGTTTTGGGGGCCGACTATAAAATGTTCACCATCAACAGATGTCCAAAAGCAAATCTTCAACAAATTTTCCGCCTCACTTCCTGTTGATACAACAACGCCTTATTCACTTCCGTTCGCAGACACTATTTTTACTCCTAATTTAACCCTGTTTTTCTCTTTTGAACCTGGCTTTCCAATATTTATATTTTCTGCATTCACGTCGCTCTTCGCGGATTTCGGCTCCTTCGATTTCGATAATCAGAACCTCTGGTCACTACTGTCTAATTCAAGTATTCATTCGAAATCAAAGATACAATTATGGCTGCAGACCTCGTGAGACAATTTCGTATGCTCGCTAGGCAACACATTTTACAAAGTAGGTTTTGATGTCGAAAATGGCGATCAAACAAGCACCAGTCTTCAAACGATAGGGTTTAAGCCTGTACTAATAGACTTCACGCTGACGGCTTCGATTACTCCAACCTTCATCCCTATACTGAACATGACTCTTACATTGCATCGTTTGTACGTGAAGAGTTTTCTAAAGCTAGTGGGAAACTTCTGATTCGCAAATCTTCCAACTTGATACTAAGAAGTAGGCTCGACACATGTGAGGATTTTACTAACAGTCTGTGGAAAGACGAATTTGTGAAAGGCATCGCTAGTGAGTGTCGCTGGATAGAGGACTACGGCTGCGATACAACCCGCTCCATTGTGTGGTCTAACTCGTCGATGCTTGACCAGTATAGTCGACCAATCAATGTCACTACGAAACCCAAAGCATGCTCAGCGCAACTCAACTGACGTGAGTAACTTTCAAATACTTGAAGTTTTCGCAGAATTCAAGTTCCTCTAGCGTTATCATTACTACAGTATCTTGGATATCAGTGTGGTGGCAATGAGCAACACCACAAAGTAAAAGTGCAGTTTCATCCAGGTATAGACGGCCATACTTATAGTCATTTCACAGGAAGCTAAAATACGTCAATGTGACATCTAGAAGATCAACAAACGTCTACTCGTATAATTCGCGCAGCCTTATACTATCCTACTGCATCGCAGCTTTCATAGCTTTCATAAGGATTATGATAGGCATATTATCATGCATCAGCAATGGCGTCGCCCGTAGCACCGCTTCCTCAGCTCTCGTCGCCACGACGCGCAACCCCGAGCTCCATGCTCCATCCAAGGGTCATTGCATCCAAGGGACATGCATGGGCTCACTAACTCTTGGCAAAGAAATGGCAAAGACGAGATTAGTTTAGAGAGCCAGGAAAGGGCGCTACGAAGGAAATAGCTAGGACGGATAGAAGTGTTGAAGTTAAACATTTGGCATTTGGTTTTGAGGATGATGAGGAAGGGTGGGGGTTAAATTTGAAGTAAAATATGCTTATTTGGAGTATGAAAAGATTGTGTCTTGGAAATGGGTATTCCATGCGACTGGATACATGGAGGAGGGTCTCGGATATACGGGGCATACGGGGTGTTCCAATGTTTGGGTGTGTTCCAATTTGTCGATGGACACGAGGCGACATGAATATTCGAGATAGGAGTTCAAACATACTGATGTATTGCAAGAAATCTACCTAGGACGACGCGTGCTTTAACTTTATAGCAAATTCGCTACATTTATTCATCTCGTCTCACTTCATAAAGCAATCTACAGACTCGCATCCATCCTTTTCTATTCAAGTTACTGTAACCCAGTCGACCATTGTTATATCTGTCGAGGCAACTCGGTCTGGCCTGCTCTCTGTTACACTTTCGAGACAAGAGATATTTCACACACCATCAAATCAACCTCCCGTTGCTTTCTCTTATTTCCTCGCTCTACAAACTCTCCCAAGATACCAAACCTACCACACTCATTAAATGGCCAACTGATCCGCACTCTCAGCCCCTTCAATCCATTGCATTATACCCCAAACCCCGAAATTGGTGAACCTTAAGGAACTATCCCCGATAGAAAATGGGAGCTTGTAGTTGATTCGGTACTTCCTTCATGGTAAGTTTTATTGCATATCTGAATTTGGAAAGGTTCGAAAAGACTTGAAAAGATCAGTAATCTCAATATTCAATGCAGAGTATTCGATGCAACGATCCGGAGAGTTTGAGTTCGTTTCGGAATGATTTTATGTAAAATCTCTAATTTGTTTAGGCACAGTAGTGGATTCAAACCTTTCTATAAGGAATCCTTTAATCCAGGATCACTCATGCAAAACCAAGAAGTATATTCAAAAACTGACAGCCAAAAATAAACTTACTCCCGGTGAGCCCGCAGACAAACCTTTCCATCCCCAGTCCGCTCGGAAAACTTATCCTTCAGCGCCTCCGGATAACATCAAGTCAAACCCACACCTTCTTACCGCCATTTCACACATCCGTATCCGTGTGCCCTCATCCGCATCCGTCCGTGTCTCATCCATGATCCATCCCTCCCTCCCTCCATACCCAAAAGTCAGGCCGGCTCGCCAGGGCCCATTCATGCCATGCACGGCTCCCACCTGCAATGAAAAGCTACCTACACACAGACATCGACACAAACTCAATTATTCATCTTGGATTCTTGGCATGCATCCCTACCCGCTCACACTCGGCAAAGTTGCTTTTTCTGCTCGCGGCGCAGGGCTCACTTACCCTGGAGTTATGGACGGTTTACGGTTTGGGTTACCTAAGAAATCTTTCAGTCCACCGGGGTCGCGAAATATGCTTTCGATAGCGACATCGGCATTACTTCATCCTCTCTCCTTCTCATTCGTCCTGTGATATCACCCCGGCAGTCTGCTCCCGTCTTGGCTTCTGTCAGTGTCAGTCTATTGCATAAAATCCATCAACGGTAGCGAGGGAGCCTTTATTTCGATATACTCTCGGTAGCTACTCGTACACTGTGCATTAGGCTTCGAGTACCAAACTAGTAGCATGGATTCGCTGTACACAGTGTGATAGTAAGTATCCTTTCAAATATCCAAGCTATAATTGCCTCCGTAGGAATCAAAGTCTCCGATAGGAGTGAGATAAGAATAGATTACGGTACCGGTAATAGAATGGAGTTCTGTACTTGAGTAAGATATTGATTGCAATTGTAAGCAGACAGCGGGGTTGCAACCCCGCGTTTTTGCTTTTGATTTCGCCGTCGATTTGTTTGTTTGTCATCAGAGGTGATCTTCTGTCTATTTGGGTTTGTATGTATGTATGTGTGTATGCATCTGTCTATCTATTTGTCTACGAAGTATGATCGTCCCAACATTCTTCATTCTTCCCGGCGCATCAATTCTATCCTCTCGATAGCAAAACAGTCAGTCAAGTCAGTTCGTCGAAAGAAATACAACTACAAGCCCGAGTATATACTAGGTAGATATACATAAGAACAGGAATAACCATCCAATCACTCATCTCCATGTATCATATATCTACCTATTATCTTCAACTATCCAACTCCATTATTCCATATTGCGTAAAAATTCGTATCAGGTACCTACCTACCTATATCAATACCAACCTTGGAATATCGTACATCGATTTCTACAACCAAAGATTTCGGATACTGTACTCGGGTTTCGATGAATGTCTGTATATCTGTATATGCTCTCCTCGCCTACCAATATACATACCCAAGTACTCAGGACTCCCAACATCCATCCATCACCTCGCTCACCATTCCATTCTCTCATCCTCATCCCCATCCTCATACAAACATACAAATCCATCTACCTGCATCCCCTCACCCCCACCCTCGGCCCCAACATCCGAACCGGGAATAAAATCTCCCATCACCATTAATTACCATTAATCACCATTACCATTACCATTACCATAACCTACCTACTCACACCCTCTCCATTCCCATCTACCCGTCAATCAAATCAGTACATACACCAGGTAGTAATGTAATACACTACACTACTCAGTCAAGACCTACCTACTTCCTTACTCAGTACCTACCCCGTACCTACATATACCTACATACCTAGTAACCACACCACACACCACATCCTCCCTCAAATCTACATGTGAAGATTGCAAATCAAAATTCTATATAAAAATCTGTCTGCTTTTCCATTCTTGAAAAAATCGACCATTGCTCAAAGATTCCAATATCTTCACATATATCTTCACATATACATTCACAAATACATTCACATATACATTCACACATCTACATACATACCTACCTACATATACATCCATATACCCCTTCATATCATCCGAGCTCCAACTCCATCCATTCCCATACAATATTTTCTTCCAGACTTGCTCGGTGTGTGGGGGATGATCCACTTTATCAATCCATCTACCCATCTACCTATCTGTCAATCAAACCATCATTTTTTATCTATGACTCCTTCAAGTGAATGATTCAGAGGAAGGATTTTTTTTCCTCTCTCGGAGGATTCCAGTTTCTAGATAGATTCTTTTATATAAATCAGGGTTGCCCTTTAAACCGCTGGTTGGATTTCAACATATTACATTATATTATATTATACCATACCATACCATATACATAATCTCTAATTGGAGTCTCCATCCAAAATGGCGAACCCCAACCCCAATCCCAATTCCAATTCTATAAATCCAGAAACCTCCACCGAAGAAACCTCCACCACCTATCCATACCTCCCATCATCCAATCCAACCCACACCTCCAATCCCGACAAAGAAATTGCCAGCTCACCCCATCATCCCAATCACTCCGATCCCGAGCTAACCACCGGCTCCGAGGAAAAAGACACAGCATTTGCAGAAACGCTAGCGCGGAGAACTCGAACCAATGGAACCCAAGTGACGACCGCGAGTTGGAGAGCTCTGGGGCCGCCGCCGGATGGAGGAATGAAAGCTTGGGTGCAAGGTGTGTGTTTTGTTATTTCTTTTTTTTATTTTGCGGGTAAGAGGCGGGAGGGGGGAGGTTGGAGGAGGGATGAAAGAATGAATATTTGTGAGGAAGGTTGTGGTTTGAGAAGGAGAAGAGAGAAACAAGAATGGTGAAACGGCAAGGAAATGTAGGGACAGCATTGAGAGATCAGACGCCGATATATCTCGCGTGATAGCAGTCTTCGTCTGAAATAGCAGTGTAAAGCCCTTGCAAGTGCAGGTACAAGTCCAAGGAAAACTGCGAACATAGATGCGAGAAGAAGGAAATAAGACAGATGAGGAAAGCCGCGCTGAAATACGCCCAAATTATATATTAAATTGAATTGCAGAAAATTGCTAGGGAGATATCAGTGGTTTAATAGTAGACCTTACCGAACCATGCACTGACTTCATTGGTTTCCGCAGTTATACTCAGTCATCTTGTCATCATGAACACATGGTTAGTATTCCCCAACCATTCCCAATACCTCGCACCCAATCTGACACCACCACAGGGGGTTCATAAACTCTTTCGGCGTCTTCCAAACCTACTACGTCACCAGCCTCAACCGCCCCGCCTCCGATATCTCCTGGATTGGCTCCGTGCAAATCTTCCTCCTCTTTTTCGTCGGTACCTTTACCGGACGTCTCACCGACGCTGGACATTTCCGCTCCGTATTCCTCATCGGCACCATTATCGGTCTCCTCGGAATCTTCATGACCTCCATCTCCACGACCTATTGGCAAGTATTCCTGGCGCAAGGAATCTGCATGGGTCTCGGTAATGGCTGTTTATTTTGTCCTGCTCTTGCAACTCTCAGTACGTATTTTAGTACCAAGAAGAGTTTAGTGATAGGGATTGCGGCTGCGGGAAGTGCAACTGGTGGTGTGATTTTCCCAATTATGGTGCAACAGTTGTTGCCCAAAATTGGATATGGGTGGACGATGAGGTCGCTGGGTCTTATTCAATTAGTGTGTCTTGGAATTTGTAATATTGGGATTAAGCAGAGAGTCCCCCCGAGGAAGAGTGGTGCTTTGATTGACTATCCATCATTCAAAGATGCTCCATATGTGTTATTTGCAATTGGAATGTTTTTCGTAAGTTGTGGCCATCATGTGTTAATTGACAACCACTGACGATAGCAAACAGAACTTTTGGGGCTTATACTTTGGTTTCTATTACCTTGGAACATACGCAAGATCAATCATCGGATTGCCACTTGCAGAATCGATAAATATAATAATCATCCTGAATGCCGTTGGGGTAGTAGGTCGCGTCCTACCAAACCACCTGGCAGATCGAGTATTTGGACCCCTGAATACACTTATTCCAATAGCAATCATAGACAGCCTTCTTTGCTTCTGCTGGATTGCCGTATCATCAAGAGGTGGTTTGTATGCATGGTCGGTTATGTATGGAATCTGTGCGGCAGGTATTCAAGGACTATTTCCAGCCGTTTTGAGTAGTCTTACCACAGACCTGAGAAAAGCTGGCGTTAGAATGGGAATGGTATTTACCGTTGTAAGTTTTGCTGTATTGACGGGACCTCCTATCGGAGGAGTGTTAATTCAAAAGAAAAATGGGGGATATGAGTACGCGCAAATCTTTGCCGCTGCTGACTTGTTCATTGGGACTGCATTCTTGATAATGGCAAGGTTAGCGAAATCCAAGAAGTTGTTTACTAAGATGTGAGAAGGGTTGAGGTCCAAGCTAGACTGCACTGCTCTTATGATTGCGGCTATTAGTCTGTCTCATTGTACCATTAGATTAGATAAATACGAGTACCGGGGCGTTTGTAGTCGGATGTTTCCGGTAGTTTAATGATACCCGCGCTGCGCTCGTTGAACACGCAAGCTAAGATTAAACCTTCTGGGGTAAACAAGACATGACTACCTGCAAGCCCCATCAAACCCAGCCACAAGAGATGATTAGGGTTTTCATAACATCCATTGTACAAGCAGTACCTATTTAGAATTCCCGAGGTCACCGATAGTGTCACCGATAGTGAAAGATAGATGCAGGTGAAAAAGCTTTCAACCTTTCCTGACATCACCTGCGGCATACTAATCCAGATGCGTGAGTATGGAAGCCATTCACATTTCCAGATCGGCTTCCTTACCGCATCTGCTCAAAATTGGTAAAGCGGAGAATTCCTTTGTGTCCATTTGTGGGATACCCGCTATCCGTAGATAATTCGGTACAATTTGAAGAGCAGAGCCCCATAATATGACCGAAGCAACACGTGAATTGTGGTACTGTAAGGGTGCAACCACACTCTACGTAAGCAAAAAAACAGGCGGAATTGACCACCATTCGAAAGAACTTCAATAACTAAGATTTCTTCTTGATGTAATATTAAATAATAAAAAGATCATATATCAGTACAAAGAAGACTCAAATTTTCATTTGATTATTTCAAATTTTAATATTTAATTTGAAAATAATTTATAATCTATTAAAAAAGACCTTTGAAAGAGTACTCAATTTCCGCCTGTTTTTTCGCTTACGTAGAGCCACAATGAAATCATGAAAGTTAAAAGGCTGAGCGTTCAAGGTTGACCTCTAGAGAGTGGGCCCTGTGAAGGGGTATTGACACATCGACCGCATTGTAGGCATGCACGCGTAGCTACCATGCCCAGTTAGCCACGCACAAGCATGGTACTGATGGGTCCAGGGTTCATTCAATGTTTCCGCAAATTTGTCCCTAACCAGTAAGCTGCAACTCACTACTGTAGTTATGGGTATTACCCTTTGACAACCAAGTCGACGACAGTTGGGGAAAGTGAAGGCAGAAAATAAACCTTAAGCAAATGAAGCAACCCGCTACCGGAATTCAGGAACGTGCTATTCCAAGATCTAGGCCAAGAAAACACATTGGCACCAGATTGAAATAGCCAAAAGCTAAGTGGAAGACCTCAAATTGCGATAAAACAAAACAGCATTTCGTTGCTTTTGAAAACTCAACAGTGATATTTGAGATCCCAAGGGTAGCTTGAGCCTTGTCGACAACCATCAGTGTTTGCAGGCATTTGCCGGCAAGTTGCATTCACTAAAATCTCTAATAAATGTTCCACCTTGCCAAGGTTGATGGTAAGCTTCAACCCAAGAAGGCCATGGCCATACTTAGAAAGTACCTAGTAAGTAAGGCTTAGCTTGCCTGTGTGCACACTGGGAGGCTACAAACGTCGAAGTCTTGTATAGTCGGTCGTAGTCTTGAGTGTTGGCAATTTTGTGCTCCAAACATCCCGACTTTTAGGAGAATACCGGCAAGCTTAAATTGATACTAGTTAGTCTAATGCTGGAAAATAAGTCAGTCTGGTTTGCTCTCGCTCGTGATGTTGCATCTCGAAGACAGATGAGATGGGACAATGCAGTCTCTCCGCAGCCCTATCTGACCTTTTTCTTTGTCTAGAAAGAGGTATCTTATGCATGGATTGCAAAGCTGTAAGACAGCAATGACCTTGTTGGCTTTGTTGTTGTTCCAAGTACTCTCATAAGCCTATAGCCTTATGAGTACGTACAGCATCAACCGATGTTGCCGCATAATTCCTCACCCGAGTTTTCCCTATAAATATCATGCTTTCCGTTATATCTCGTATACGCACGGTATTGGCGGTAGCTGAAAGTGGTGATTTGACGCATGCATGCATGGCCTCTAGAAAGAAGGATGACAGCGGGGCGACGGGTGACGTTTGAAGTTGAGACTTGTCATTGGGAATGATTCACCAATAGAGGTTGGTGGACGGACGGTACGACCCATCATACGATCTTGCTACCCTTCTTTTTGGTCGTAACGTATGCTCAACGAACCTTGAAAGATCGATGGTAGGACCCCTCTCACGGAAAAGCTTATGCAGCTGTAGATAGTAAATTTTGTGATTGACTCCCTTGTGTAAGAATGGAATCCAATCAAATCTTGAGTATAAATATTACCCAAAACTCTAAAAAATGAAGCGTGTGAGGAGGAAACATTCGTTTTCGTAATTACCTCGAGTTGCCTCGATGATCCTGCTTCATTTAGCGGTCAAGAGATCAAACGCAATCTCATAGAGATGATGATACTTTCGTACGGATGGCATGGTATGATGGCCCGACTCCCAGGAAGTAGTTGGAGTAAGGTGTTGAACCTTATGTAGTGATATCCCCAGCCCAGCGTCTGCAGCTTGTTACAGATCACATTAGTGAAAAAAGTCTGTCAAAATGAGGATGGAGCATTTGAGACCTGTCAACGGGAGAGCATCATGCTAGGTGTGGCTATTGGTGGATGAAATCGCAAGAGCAATGGGTCCATGCTAAGATTGGTAAGATGGGCAAGATTGGTAAGATGGGGAAAGACTCAGCATTCGGATCCAAATGAAGTTGTTGATGAAGTTTCGGTATGTGCGGCGTGCGGCATGCGCACTGCATTCAATGTGTGACGAGAAAACATGACTCGCAGCTAATAAAGTTTATTGTGATGTGATTCATGTGAAGAATCAAGATTGATGATTGAAGTCTGGAAGAAGCTTAGGAGATTTGTGTATCTCGTGTATTTGCATCAGTTGCGTGATTTGCTCAATCGGCCTCACCGTAAAGATTACACTTTCCCTGGCGAGCCCGGGTAGGTGCATGTAGAGGAAAACTCTAAATTGTATCAGATGCTGCATACAAAGCTCTACACTGCAACCTTCCGGACTTGACCTAACGGGCCACGATATCACTGCTGCTGCTTGCTGCTGCCGATGATGGTGACGATCATGATGATGACGATGACGATGATGACGCCGATGACGCCAGTGAAGCAGTGGGATGAAAGAGGTCAGAAGATGGCTCTTATCGAGATACTTCCTTTGAGACGTAAGTGCTTGGGTTGGGGGAAAACTGCAGCCAGGAGAAGGGGGTAGGGAATTTATCAAGAATTTCTCTCTCTCTCTCTCTCTCTCTCTCTCTCCCTCTGCCTCTCTCTCGGTCCTTTTTACCACGAACAATACGAGAAATGTGACATTGTGAATTTGTGAATTTGTGGCTTTCAAGCATGCGCGTGTCAGGGTCCAGAGCAACTTGCGTCCTTGTTCTTCTTCTGCTTCTTCTTCTGCTCCTTCTTCTTCATTCCATGCACGATGTTTGGGCTCGGGAAGCAGAACTCTGGAATCTGCAGTCTGTACCCAATATCTGGTCAACGTTCCCGCGTTCTATTGGAGAAAGAATGCATAAGCTTATAATATAAATTCAGGATTTAGAAACCAACTCAATCTAACGGTTTTCTAGAAGCCGCCATCCCCGCCTAAAATGTTCGAAATGGCGGTGCATCAATGCATAAGTCAGGTCCCCAGAGATCATTTACTGGAAGAGGATTGGGTTTGCGATAGGTGTTTAAAGAATTCTCCATGATGCATTTAAAAGACGTTTAGTCTGTATGAGAAAGAGATAGCGGGAGAGAGATAGACAGTAAGATGTTGACAATTCATTAGATAATCCAAACCATGCAGGTGTGTAGCTAGCTGCACTTTGACGGTTCAATGCTCATATGAGAGGAAGTATCTTTTAGTCCGTAGATCTGGATGGATCTGGATGGATCCTGTTGATGATACTAGGCATTCGTAGATACTCGTCGACATCACGGCCACAGGGAGAGTCTGGGAGATATCTTGGAACGTCAGGAATGTCTAACTGCTTTGATCTGCTGCATGTCTCCTGGCGCTCGACTCTTGAGCGGACTATCGTGTCAACCCATTCTTCATACCTTGGCCCATCGTTCGCGATATCCATAGTTTCCTATATCCGTAGTTCCCTTCATCAAAGTTCAAACTATATTGCAAATGTAATCAAGCAATCACACATACCTGGCCGGCCGGATCTGTCTGGCTGCTGGCTTCTGGCTTCTGGCTTCTGGATTCTGGATACTGGATACTGGATACTTGCCCCAAATTAGGTTCATCTGGTCAAACTCATTTTAGCTACTCTGCCACCGAGATCCCATCCCATCCAATATCTACGCATCTGCGCTCCCGTTTCATCACGCAGAGATTATTACAGCCTCACCAAGAAATTCACCAAGCAATCCAACGTCTAATATCCAATATCCAATATCCAGTCGCCAGTCGCCAGTCTCCAGTATCCAATATCTAATATCCAATATCGCAGTAATATCCCACATCTCAGAAAGTATAATAGAGTTCTATCAGAAACCACAGATCATCAGTGGTACCCAACTGCCCTTGTATCACACTACCGTCAGGGATTCCTCTCATTCCTCTTATTTCTCACAATTATCACTGCCATCGACATCCACAAATACATAGGTGATCATTCCCACTTGAGCCACTGTCCTCCTGAAGAACCATTCACGAATCACCACCCCCTCCAAAACGTCCCATCCATGAGTCTACATACGACAAATCCCAACTTGTCCGAATTGATTATCTCAAGGATTTCCACCTTTCATTAAGTAAATGCTCTTTTACTTTCTGTCCCTCCTAGTCTCTCCCCGAAAACGTCAAGCTCTCCCTCTCACTCAAATTTACAAGGGTTTACATCGATAGCAACCCTGTAGACGTGTAAATATTTGTCCCTTATCCCCCCAATATTCAACATTCAAAAAGCAGTTGGATTGTAGGACGAAGAAGAAGAAAAGCAGAAGAAAAAGTTGGTTGAATCAATCTTATACATACTTACACACCTACATATACTCATACTCGAGGACAACGTTACACACTCGCCCGCCGGCTTCCTCTTCAATTGATTCTTGCATCTGATAGCGCAGACAGTGAAGAGTCTTAATATATTCCAATTCTCTTTTCTAGACTTCTGTGCGAAAGGGGCCGAACCTACCTATTAATCGTTTATTTCTTCATTTGTTTGTCTGTCGTGGGTTGTTTGTTGAAATCATTCATTCATCCATCCATCCATCCATCCATTCACTTCTCGATTCTCTCCAGTACCCGTGTTATATATGTATAACTGCTGGTGTACCACTTCCCACGTCTAAACTTCGATCCGAAAACTCAACCAACTCCATACCTCCCAACTACAAGTTCCGATAAAAAAATTAAAAAAAATTCGTATCAGAACACCAAGGGAAAACGAAAATCCACTCCCCCTCCCACTTCTTCCCCAATTCTACCGGATTTGCACCGGTATACAACCCTCGCCGACCAAAAAAATAAAATATCTTCAGGGATTTCTATTGGCAAGATGTCCAGCTACCCAGTTCCGAATGGTCACAATAACAATAACAATGGCTACAATTCCTTGCCATTGCACGGCCCAACATCAATCCCATCGCCAAATGATTCCATGATTTCTCACAATCAGCAGCTTCAACACCAGCATCAACAACAACTCGGCATACCTGTCTCACCCTCTTTTCAATATGATCCTCAGATGGGAGCTCCACAGGGTCAGCCATCACCCCAAATGCCCCCACCAATGCAACAGTACAACGATGGAATGACGAATGGTCATGATGGTCTACCCATTCAAACTGGAACACCATCATCCATGAATGGAACCGGAGAAGCACCAAAAGGAAATAGATTACGGAAAGCATGCGATTCATGCAGTATCAGAAAAGTCAAGGTGAGTTCTCAAAAATTCAAAAGCATCCATAGTTTATCTTTACATATTGCGGGGTAAATTCTAAACATTTGTTTTTCTGAATAGTGCGACGAGTCTGGTCCTCCATGTCGAGCATGCGCTGCACTAGATATTCCATGTACATTCGACAGACCAAGTCGTCGCAGAGGTCCACCAAATCGACATGCGGAAGCAGTAAAAAAGAGAAGACTCGAGATGGAATCTTCGGGTGGCGCATCTTATTCCTCTCCGACATCACCAAATAATGTTGCGGCAACGTTGGCATCGTTCTCTTCACATGCAGTTCTATCTGCCGAATCGATATTGCCACTGGCTACTCTTGAGCTCTTCGTCGATGATTTCTTCACATACATACATCCGCTCGCCCCATTTCCACATGAACCTTCATTTCGAGTGGCACTCAAGAACCGAGAAGATTTAACAAATTCATCATTTCTTGCATTGTTGGCATCTATGGTTGGAATATTAGTAGCCTCATTTCCTAGAAAGCCTAGGCTACATCTCAAAGCTCAACATCGAGAACATCTGTTCCCGCATTCGCTCAATTTGGTCGAAAGATGTCATAAAGTGGCAGTTGAAGCTAGGGGTGCCGGATACCTCGATAAGGATCTCTCAGTCTATGATGCAGCTACAAGTTATTTTTTGGGATTGTCAGGCGCATATACATTCAATTGGAGACAATGTAGATTGTATTTTGGAGAAACATTAAACATTTTAAGAATGTTGGGAGCACACAGAACCAAGAACACTGGTGGGATGACTACTTTAGGCCATCTTCCTGCAACGTTTGGTGCTGAAAGCCCTCAATATGTCGATCAGCCTGAACCTGTAGATTATATTCGTCAAGAGATCGGTAGAAGATTATTCTGGGTTATGTTTGTTGGTATTCGGTACGTAATTATACCCCCCCTGATGAAGTATCTTACTGATGAACAAGATCAATGCAACAAATAGGTGCAACGTTTGGTGAACTTCTGATCCCGCCACCAACCCCAAACGAACCATATCCTCCACTACCTGTGGAAGTTGACGATGAATACATTTTTGTAGACCACATCCAGTCGCAGCCCGAAGGTATCTTATCAGGCATTGTTGGATTTAATATGGGTGTTAAGACCTACATGACATGTACACCCCTGTCAACGATGGAAGTTGCATATGGAATTGATCAAGTCTTCGACTATCAACGTCAACGAAGGGTGCTCTCACAATGTCTTAACGCTGCCAAACACGTTCTGGACCAATTACCAAATGAGCTGATGCTTCTCCAAAATTCCGAATCAGGAGAGTTTGGTCAACGAAACGAAGCCTACTATCCACCTTTGGAAGGGTTTCCGGGTGCTCGTGCAGGTGGAATCGAAGGACAATCTTGGAATGGAGTCACCGGAGATGAGAAGAGAAGGAGACAGTATGAAATCATGAAATCTAATATTTACGCTAGCCAACTGGCCACCAGGTCATATCTTGTTGAGAAGTATTGGAACCTTCAAGATGCCTACGAACAGCTTAAAGCTAAAACAGGCGGCTCGGGTGATCTCAAATTAGGATCTCCAGGTCTGATCGCAAGTGGTTTGGATGAAATGCTGCCACGATCGGCAACAGAAGATTCAATTGAGTCTATCGTCATGAATGAAAGGGAGAGCATTGTGAAGGATTTGCTGAAGGCGCTAAGTTGTCTTCAACAAGTAAACATGGAACCTAATGGTGGCAGCTTTGTTCGTTAACCCTTCCCTTTTAATTCCTCAAGCATTTTTTATTTCGGGCTTTACTAATAATTTCTGCTCTAGGTTAATAAAATCCGCCAAATAGCGTCAACTTTAGTCGACACCCCGCAAAATCGCAAAGGACCTTTCGCATTACAAACCGAAGAGTACCTAGGTAAATTCCTGGATATCTTGATGAAGCTTGAGAGAGCTAGTCCGGCCGGTGCTAGGAGTGAGAGTGCTGATGGTGTGGTTGATGAGGAAGAAGAATTAAGTAGTTGGGCCGATCTCAGAGAATATCAGACGAGATTCGCTCAATCTGGAGGATTTTTGAACGAATTGTAAGATCATAATTAAGGTTTGGGGCTGGGTGACGAGAGATGGAGAGAGAGATAGAGAGAGAGAAATGATTAATGCGTTTGCAATGGAATGGCAAGGAAAATTTGGGCAAATGGGGTTCGGGCGCAGATCTTCTTATTGTAAAATGGATGGACGGATGGATGGATCGTGTGGGATGGGCAGATGATTGGGTCTGTGGCATGGGATATGCGTGTATGATGGTGAACGAGATTGGGATTCGAGTGAAGCAGATGGAGTGGTTGGATCCACAATGTTCATATGGGAATTCAATCAATGGCAGGATGGCAAACAAACAAAAAAAAGATTTGCACAAATGGTTTTTGGGGACTGGACCGGGGGAATGGATGGGCTTGGTAGCTGGGTCGGCTACAATGTTTACTTTGGTATTTTGTGGTACTCTGTACTAGACCATCGGTACATTTCTGCAAACGCACATCGCTCATGGGGTATTCACCAGGGCAATCAATGCAATTTGCACATGCAGTATAACAGTTCATGTAGAATAAGAAACAGGAAATAAATAATACCCACATCAGCATGTCCAAGACAATAAATGTATGTGAAGTTCAGCATCGGTAACTCGTCAGCAAGAATACATAGAGTAATCTATCTATTCCTCCCACGAATTCACACCCCTTACACCCACCTCTTCCACTCATACATTACAAATGAAAATGAAAATGAAAATGAAAATCAAACGCAACAGCAGAAAATTTGGAGTACAATATATATTTCTACATGACTTTCAGCTAAAAAAGGTCCCCTTCCCTGGGGTTGGTAGGTAGCTAGCCATTCTCCTGGTATATCCGTGTTTCCCAACGCCTTCTATATACATCTCAAGCAATCCCAAACGCCGTACATGTAGAATACGTCTCGCCCATATAAAACTTCATCGTCATCGTAACAACTTCGTAGCTGGCAATTATATTTGACAAGCTCGCTTCCTCGCATCTTACTTACAACTTGCTCCCCTCCTTCACACAACACACATTTCCGCTGGAACCAATTACCGCCTCGCCAGCCTCCTGCTTGTGCTGTGCCGCGCTATCCTTTGCCAATACACTCTTGTTGAAGCTTTGCTCCGAGGGTGGCACATCCAACGCGGGGTTCTTGGTGAAGAAATTAACTGGTTTCAATCCAACCTTGATGATCTCCACCGGCATGACGGGGAAATCTTCAATCCGTGGGACGTGGTTGATACCAAATTGAACCCAGACGACAATATCATCATCTTGCACGTTATCTTGACGATCAGCGAAGGAACGCACACCGGTACCGCCGCGCGATTGGTTGGTGTATTTTCCTCCGGCGTAGAGCTCGCCGTCCCGGTAGGATGTGACGTAGATGTTGTGGTCTGCGAATTCGGCACGTTTGTGGTGGAAAGATTCCTTGTCCGCGAGCATCTTTTGGAAGGGAGGAACGTGAATTTTGTAGGCGACGGGTTTTCCGTTGATTGGGTTCTTGACAGAGGAGTTCTGGATCTTGAAGGTGCGGTTGACGTCGTAGTTGAGGTCGTAGCCGCCGGAGACGGTGATAGGCTTGGTTTCGACGGTGTAACCGACACCGTGGGGGTTGAAGTCGCTGCGTGGCATGGGGTGCGCTTCGTCGTAGACAACGGTGTTGAGAGGGCCGTCGAGCATAGGGTCCACACGGAGAGAAAAGATGTGTTGATGGTGGGCGGCGAGGACACCGGGGTGCACGACTGTGCCCCATGGGACGGTGAGACCTTCATCGATAGGTTGGGTGGAGAGGATACCGGTGGCGCGGACCTCGTACATAAGTTCTCCGGCTTGGTTGAATTGGAAGGCGAGAATATACTCGTAGTTTGCGACGGTGAGAATGGATTGGAGGACGAGTTCTCTGTTGCGGACGACGGCTGCACGACCGGTTCTGTAGTTGGTGTGTTTCCATCCGATACCATTGTCTTGTTCGTGAATACAGACTACGTTTGGCATTTCAAGTACTCCTCCTTTGTTATCATTGAGAACGGCGGAGAGGTAGTGGATTGAACCAAGACAATCACATCCAAGTTGAAGGTTGTTTGCAGTGATCCCTGCACCAACATCACCGAGATCGAAAGCAGCCTTTCTGTGGAATGGGTTTCGAGGATCGGCATATGGAATGTTCATATCCGAAAGAGACAATCTGTAGAAGAGAGGGCGTCCATCATAGTGAACATCGTAGAGAACCATACCTTCTCTCAAGTTGAAACCAACCTTGAAACTCCATTTTTGCCACTCGATAGTATGCCCCTGTTCACTGAACTTGGTAACTTCGAATGAAGCACCTTCTGGCTGGATGACGTTCAATGGCTTGAGATCTTTTCGGAGATCTTGTGCTTCTGGGATATATTCGTTTGGAGGTTGAACTTTGTATGGTGAGAGTTCCTTGATTGTGTTGTCGGCTCCAGTTGGCATGATGTCGATACGTGTAACTTTCATGGTCTCGGCACTGACGACTGGGGAAATGGTAAGAGGCATAGCATAATGGTTACCATCGACCTCATTAGGGTTCTTTGGGTCTCGAATGTAAAGGAAACATTGGAAATAGCGTTTATCGTCAGTGAAAAGTCCCTCGTTAACTCCATCGGAGCCTAAGAATTGTCAGTACAACTTTCATTCGAAATGACTGAGGTAAATCTACCATAAATCCATGGGTCGCAAACAACTACAGTGCCTTCTGGCAGTTGGAGCTTTGCAATTGCGGCTTTTACTCCCTCATCTTCCAGGGCAATTAACTCGACTGCTACCAGTTCTTCCGAATCGGCACCACTGTGAACATTGGGGCCAAGTCTGACATTGCTCTCTACCTGTCCAGCAGACAAGTTGACGATAGCTTCGTGTAATTTATCCTACAGAGGGTATATCAGTAACAGTTCCCGAGCGATTTAAAATAACTGCCACTCGAAAAAAATAGACATGAAGGAACTCGAGTAACTAGACTTACAGTATTCTTGATATAGTAAACCACAAAACTCCTTCTATCGATCTTTGGGAGAGCAGATCCGGAATGCTCAGCAGCGAGAAATGGGACTAATTCGGCCTTTTTTGGTTCCTCGAGGGTAATACTCTTGAATTGAAGCGTAACCTCAGCAGGCCATGAACTCTTAATGATCTGCGAACTCTGCAAGATCTCAGCAGCAGTCAATGGACCGAGAGGATGTTCCAAGGTAGTTTTCTTGCCTCCCACAAAAGGGAGGGAAGTTGAAACTTCGGCTGTAGACATTGTATGCGTTGTGGAAGCGAGTATCCAAAAGCTGCTCAGAAAAAATACAATGTGAAGATGCAAGATGGAAAGAAGAAGAAAACGAGGGGTCCCTCAACATATATACGGCTTCTAGCTACCGGAGTAATGAGCCAAGATCTTCGTATTTCAATTATGAATGAATATTGTACGATAACTTTCCATTACAATCTATTGGACCCCTCTTTCGAATCATAGCATTCGCATAATCTTATCGTTGTCCTGTTAGATGTTGCATATATTTTTCAAGTTACTCGTGCGGCCAGAAAGTATGCAACTCCGGCGCTATGAAAACCAGGTTAGTCCTCTTGTAGTTTACCATCTTGTGGTATGTGCATCTAGCGTCGGAATTGCATACTTTCTGGCAGCACGAGTATGTGTCTGTAGTAACCCCACTTCACTTCATCCACCTATCTTTTATCATTCGCATGGACATTCCAAAAGGAGCAACGCGGGGTCGGAATAGTGATGATAGATCACTGAGAGATCCATGATTCAAGAATTTGCTGCGTTTAAAGATAGGTTGATTAGCAAATGTTTACTTAATGTTTGCTTGTCATATGTATTATCATTGTTTGTGAAACAGATAGGGTTTGGAATCTTAAACTTTAGATGCATTTCGATGTGTCGACGGCGATGTGGATTGTGTGCATCGAGTTCATGATATCGGAAATGCTGAAGTGTAATCCGATATTTTGTGGAATTTCTGACTCCGTGTTTCGCATGGACTTTCCTAAAAGAGCGTTCGGTTATCCCGGTTATCTCATTCTTATCTACGCTTGCATACCCGTAGAGTGATAGCCGATTGTTTCCGTAATGTTTCTTATTCATTGTCGCACATTCATCCATGGATAGCAGACGAGGTGCAGACGAGGTGCAAGCGACGGGCAAAGCGCATAAGAGCAGTGGCAAAATTCATCTTCTCGTTATTTCTTCGCAACTGGAATACACCATCTTGAACATTACCCTACATCTTGTCTTCAAAACCTACACGAACAGCGGTTGCTGCGGCCGATATCATGGGTTACGGTGCAATTTGAAGCGGTCCTGCTGTGCTACTCTTGTCTATTCTAGGGGTTGGAGGGACTAACTAATTCCTCGATCAAACAATGTCAACATGACCAAACTTCTGACAAGATCGTCAACTTGAATGAAATACGACTTTTATGAGTCTGTTGCGCGTCTCGCATCCATGCGTGCCACCGCATCATCCAAAAATATAGCGCACTGCCCGCGTAAAGATGTCCGTCCGTCAAAAGTTTGATTGGTTTCATGATTATTAAATTTCGGATCACTTGTTGTCATTCACAAGAGGGAAGCGAATCACAAACAGAAAATAAACTACTCATTCGAATAGTATAGGCATCTTTGTTTGCATGCGAGTTATCGAATTCCTGCGATTGATGAAGCGAGGTCTTTTCATACATATGTATCTCTATACCCGAAAAACATGATCCCCATGATTAATATTGTGCTTTTTTCGTTCCTTATAAAAACAAAACAATACAGTCCATTTATCTCAAAGTCACCTGAGTAAATCTGCCAACTATGTATGTATATCCGGAACATTTCTGAATCACTCTAACTATGGCCACAATGATCCATTCACAGAACACAGGCGAGTTGCAAGCGAAAATCGAAAGGGGCGAAGCGACAGTGAATACACTGCAACATGTTTCGGTTATGAATCACGAATAGGTATGGAAGGAGAATTTCAAAACACAACCATGTAAGATCACGATTGCGCGCACTCATTTAATTAAGTAACCTATTGTTATATTGCTAGAATGTGTAAACTACTCGATTAATAATACTATAGAAACCTCGCATTCCTCTGCGATTCCTGTTTGATGAACATATCCTATACGACGAAACCATTATGCAAAAGCCCAAATAGACCTGAATAGATTCTCGTGAAACACCATGGAGCGGAAAGCCACACTTTGTCGTGAAAAAGAAATCCTTCGAAGCGACGACCCTTATCTCAACCCCAATTACAGCATTCCACCCACATCTCCAAACCCCAAACTCCTCCCATCCACTTCCATCTAATCCCCAGTAAGATAGACCCAGATTAACGGACCTTGCCCCGGCAACCCGGTTCTTTTTCTTCCCATATCCCACCCCAAACTTGCAAGCGTCATTTTCATCCTCTGACCATTCCCTCCCTTAAAAACCATTCCCTTAGTCCACTTTCCATTCCCCACTTCCTGGACCTCCGTCATCACATTCTTATCCGCATCCTTATTGCTACAACCCAGTTGCTGCATCATATCCTTGATCGTCATGG